GCATTTTTTTGCCTTTCATTTCTGATGGCTATATCGATTCTTTTGGCAAATTCGTATTAGATTGATTTCTATAACTCTGCCGATGAAAGTGCGTAAAAGTTATGTTGGAAATTCAACTTGAACTTGGCTAGTATTACAAATCTTAATATAATCTCCGAATAGTTCATGTAATATGTTTTTTTTAGATGATGATCGAATTGTGTTCCCGCTTGCACTAACGGTATACCATTAAAAGATTATACGATATGAAATCGGGAATTTAACACGACGATTTCAAAAGCGGAATGCGTGGAGTTCGAGATGACTTTGTACTTTGATAGAAATGGGGTCACTAATCCTTGCTACTCTATCAATAACCTCCCTTATAACATGTTTAAGTATCTCACTTGTTATAAATTTTACATATTACTTCTATCACATGGTCCATCCGTCTTTTATCCGAGTTGGTATAAACGTTGCAATTACCGGTAATGTATCCATTAACTTTGTCACGATCGCTGTTCACGATCTTAATTGTTAAATCGATCGATTCTGTAAATTTTAATGGATAAAGAGTACCTATACATTAAATTTACTACACTAAATTTCATTGACATTAATGATGTGTGTGAACATGTCATTTTTATATATTATATCGAATTAGGTGTTATTTTGTGGAAGTCCATTTAATTACTTAATTTATTTATATTATTTTGTTTAATTCTGCTACCATTATAGCATGTGTGAAAACACAAATATTCAGTACGGAAACGTACCCACTGCTACTAACGCCGCAAGAAAAAAATACAAAATGCATTAAGTAATAGTATTTCTTGCCTACCCTATATAGTTGATTTTTTAATCCAGGTATATGTTTTTTTATTAGGTTTTACTGTCTTATATTCTGTAATTGTAAAAGGGCAGTAAGATCTGTAAACTTCTCTAATTCTATATTTAAGAGCTTATTATATTACAAGTGTGTTCTTTGCCTTCTTTGTTTTTTTGTTATAACTTCATCTTTTAAGTTTTAATAAGGCCCAGCCTGCGGTTGCCTATTTTTCCCCAATTCCTCTATTTTTATTTAATTTGTTCTCATTTTCGTGCTTAGACTGCGCCTGCGATTTTTATCTGTTTTTCTTGTATTGTCTTTTTAGTCTAATTCACCTTTTAAGTATTTGTCTCTACAATTTATTTCAGTTCAGTTTTCATCTATCTCTTACGATTAGATAACAATAACGAACAACGACCAAGTCTTTTTACGACTATAATAATAGAACCACCCACTGACAAACGCGCCATTAAAGAGATATAAATGTTCAGTAAAAAGTGGCAAAATATTCTCGAAATATATAATACTACACAGATATGCACTATTATAATTCATGATTGCATTGTCCGGATTTTTGATGTACTTTAATTTTTAATAGATTTTTATTAAAATTAATATTTATTAAAAAACAAATTACACATATATTTTAGTAGCTGTGCCCGCGGTTTCACCCGCTTCTATTTTATAGCCTATATGTTATTCTGATGTATAAGCTACATTACTGTAAAATTTCATAAAAATCCGTTCTGTAGTTTTTGCGTGAAAGAGTAACAAACATCCATCCATAGTTACAAACTTTCGCGTTTATAATATTAATAATAAGATTACTATGAATAACCTTAAGTAGTCATTTGTACCCAAAATACTTAGATAAATAAACTACTTTAGCATTTTTAATATATATAAATAAATTATCTCTATTGGTGACTAAATAACCATCCCGAATATGAATAAGCCCTGATTGATTCACCACTATGGGGTCTATTCTCAATTCTATTTTTAAATAACATTAATTTTACGAAGGGCGGCCTGCGGGCCAATAGGCCGTATTACCCATCCGAATAAAACAGTCAGCTCACGCTTTGGTGTCATATTAACGAACTACTACAATTTCATTGGCGGATTATATAGACCTAATATAATAATTCGTGAAAAGAGGCCTTTTAACGCCCCTACTGGACGATAGCATGACAGTATACCCACATCATTATGCTCGTTATGGAATTAAAGTGAAATTGCAGTAACATAATGCTGCGAGTATGATAGATATTGAGCAGTTAATGCGTGCATAGACTTCGTGTCGCCATTCTCGATATAAGTAATGTAGCACATTTTCCATTTTATTTTGCCTCTTCTTAAAAGTACGTTTCAATATTATAATTTTTGCCACAATGGGCGCCAGTATTTTCTATAATGTCACGGACATTGTAGAAAATACTGCGGTTCATATGTAACGACTTTCTCTATCAGATGTACCCTCAGGTGTAATGATAAGTATTACGTTTAGTTTATATATATATATTTTTTTTTTTTTTTTTTTTTTTTTTTTTTTTTTTTTTTTTTTTTTTTTTTTTTTTTTTTTTTTTTTTTTTTTTTTTTTAGGACAATTCACACAGCGCCATCTAGACCCAAGTTAATCTAGCTAAAGCTTGTGTTATGGGTACCAGATAACTGATACAAATACATAGATATTTTTTTTTCTCGTAAATACATACATATTATATATAGAAAATACCTAGACCGATACAAACAATTATACTCACGAATACAAACGTGATTTAAAAAGGTCGTTAGTGGCTTTGATGATACGATTTAAAAATTATAATAGTTTTTTTTTAATACTTATAATGAAATATGGTATCCCATTCCTTATTTCTAAATTTAAACGTAGGCCACAAAATCTAGAAAGCTTAAATTTCGAACATAAATTTAATATGTATTTACGACCTCGGCGATCTATCTAAAAAATATGTAGTACCCATAAAACAGGCTTTAGCTAGCTTAACTTATGTCTAGATGGCGCTGTTTGAATTGTCTTGAAATTATTATTATTTAAGAATTTTAATGTAGTTTTACTGCATAACACAACGTATGCAAAACGGCGGGAAACAACTAGTTTTTATGACATACATCGTTTTGTATAAGATAGAAAATGTATAGCTGCCTATGTGTACAGAGTAGTCTTGATCTTAAGTATGTTTGATGATAGTCATTTGTGGTTGATGTTTTAACTTGCATCATGTATACTATTTCTCAATCGCCATTAAAATAGCTATCAAACATTATAATAAATAATATTCTACATGTGCATAAGTTGGCATAGTCATTACCGCAAATGGTAAAGCGGTTTATGAATTTGATGATCTCTTAGAATTTATTCATTACAAGTACATGTGTGTGTTTTTTTAATTAATGAATATGGAAATGCACGTCACTAGTGAAGAATGGTGTCATGAGCATGAAGTCAGGTCAGGTCGGTCAGCCGTCTACGATGTATTCACTACGGATTAACCACGATTATTTGCAGAGTAACCCGCGTGGCGGTTGTCTTGATATGGTACAGTGCAATAGATTCTATCACCACAAATTTACCACACCCCTCCCTTTGTTCTTATGGATGATAATAGAGTAGTGATATGGCAGGGCACCGGTGAAAGATGATAGATGAGCATAAGGTCAGTTGTTTTTTTTAATGGTTGATAATGGAATGGTGCACCCGCCTGCGCTGACGGTTTACGCTGGCGGGGCACCAGTGGAGGATGATAATATGAGCATGAGGTCAGGTCAGTTAGCCCATCATAACAAATTCAACAATAATTTATCACGATGGTTTCCAAGGGAACTACGTGGAGGTACATTACTAGCAGTGGGGTTATTAGTCCACATTACTAACAATCCCCTTCTTCTCCAACCCCTCCCTTTTTTAGTAGTGGGTATTTGAAGGTACGAGTACCTACATAGAAGAATGACCACTTCCTATTCAGAAGACTAATAACGTAAAACGCGCGCCTTGAATAATAAAGTTATCACAAATAGATAGAACGTGAAAATAGCACGGAAAAATCAATACATTACTTAGACATTTATTATGCAATCTACCTACACACCTAGCAGGCTGTTGCAGGTTTTACCGTAGTCAGTGGCCGGCTGTAACCCCAGGGGTCGTCGCGTTTGGTAGCAATGTACTATACTAATTCTAGTAAAGAATACTAGAACGGAGACACCGTTGCCATCATTGTGCCATGTCGAACTTTGTCCCGCGGTCCCCTTGTAAATCACCGTATTTAATTCGCAAAAATAAACTGACCACCATGTGATCTCCATTGGAAACAATTATATTTAATTTCTGGTGGATTCGTCACGATGGACTAACTGGCTTGTCTTCATGCTCACCCTATCATCTTCTACTGCAGCCGCGCAAGCGTATACCGTAAGCGTATATAGGATGAACTATCCTTAAATTGTCTATAAAAAAATACGTATATTTTGTACGTTACTAATACCCATTATTGGGGGAAAGGGGGTTATTAGTACCATGTCAGATTGACCTCCTCGCGGTTTTCTTTGGATAAATTTCTGGTGAATTTACCAATGGGTTAATTGACCTGATCTCATTCTCATCTTATTATCCTCTACTGGTGCGTATCTTATTATCCTCTACCGCCAGCGTAAACCGTCAGCGCAGACGGGTGCACCATTTTATTGTCAGCCATAAAAAATAAAACATAATGATGCGCCCGCCTGCTCTAACTCCTGGTTTAGACTGGCACCAGTGGAGGATGATAAGATGAGTATGAGATCAGGTCAGTTGGTCAATTTGTCACGATGGTTTCCAGGGCGAACCGCGTGGAGGTCGACCTGGCATAGTACAATGCTAGCAATAAGATCAACAATCCACATTACTAACAACCCCCCCCCCATATTCTGTTATCACCCATAAAAAAAATCTATATGGGGAAAATGGTGTTTATTAGTAATTAAAAGTATAATCTGGTACTTTGATACGATAGCTCAGCTCAGGTTTATCTTGTCATCTTCCACTGATGCCCTACTAGAAACCGCCAGCACAGAAGTTCCATTCCATAAAAATTCCCATTATTGACACTCACCTTCGACAGTCTACAAAACCAACTCCAGACTATATTAATTGCTCAATGTTTAACACAATTGACCCAATGTGTATTTTCTACAGGCATTGGCAAGCTATCCGGCGAAGGCAAACACCTGGCAGATCCTGAGGTGCTCCGGCGGCTGACGTCATCCGTGTCGAACGCGCTCGACGAGGCGGCCGCGGCGCTGACCCGCATGCGCAGCGAACAACCACCCTCGCACCACAGGCACCACCATCAAGACAAGCCGTCAGTATTGTTTTTTTTTTGTTGTTTTTTACTACAATATAACTACTAGCTGACCCTGCCAACGTTGTTTTGCCGTATAAATTAAAATCGCTAAATAGGGGTTGATAGTAGAACGGCGAAAATGTAATGTTGTATGTGTTTTTTAATGCCACATTATAAAAAATAAAAAAAATCTCCAATAAATAAAAAATAAATTTTAGGCGTAGATAACCCTAATCACTTAGGGGTATGAAAAATAGATAGTAGGCGATTCTTCGACCTACTGGATATGCATATAAAATTTCATAAAAAGCGGTCAAGCCGTTTCGGAGGAATATAGTAACTAACATTGTGACACTAGAATTTTGTATATAAATGGTGTGAACAAATGTGCTGTTTCCTCTAGACTTTGTTTTTAAGAATAGAACAATCTATATTGAGATGTAGATTAATAATATATGCGAAGTTGAAACTCATTTATAAAGATAATTAATCTGTGCAAAATTGGCGAAGATATCGCGTGACATTGACAGAAATTGCATTGAAAACCTCTTGTTTCTCGGCTAAAAGTTGAAGTCTCATTCTGCTCAAAAATAATTACATATTTGAATGTATGTACTTCTACTGTTTAGAGTTGATTGTTAGAATGCATCAATACTTATTGGCTCAGTATAGATGGTAAATATGAATAATTCATTCGAATGAATTCGGCATTCAACTGTATGTTGAATGAAAATGTTGTGTACAACATGTGTGTGTGTTGTGTTTTGTTTGTTTGTATGAATGACCATTCAAAGATTCGCTAGTCATTAAAGTAGTTCCATTAGATTTTTATTTTTATATCGCTCTAATGTACATATGTAGTTTAATATTAGCATATCATTTGTATAATTCAATTGTATTTCTATTCAATTAAACCAAACATTAATTGGCTGCGTTGTTGGTCTAACGGCTTAGCAAACTGCCTTCCGAAATTCGCAGGTTCGATTACGATACAGATACAGATACTCGCTCGACATCTGTATTCATGGGTATGATGATTTGTATTGTTCTAGATGTTTACTACATACATTGTGTGTATTTTTTCAAAAAAAGGGATTTTAGCATTTTAATCTGCTTTGAATTCCGCGGTATTGTTTGGTTCAGGAGTAGATTGGGTAACAAATCAGATCTATTGTACAATAGTCATCAATTAAAAAGTAACTCAAAAGAATATGACTTAAAGTAGAAAATAGTTGAATAGTTAAAATAGGTTTAATGAAGGTTTGCTGTTTTCATAAATAAAGGGATTAATAAATATTATATAGATGCAGTGATATCGTCAAAGAATACTGCTGAATAATGATGCTATGACGCACGCTTTGCTCTATAAATTCACATTTGACTATTAGATTTGAATAATACATAGGATTCGGTACACGTATAGACATTTTGTGTAGTTGGTGAACATTACATACGTTTTTCAAGTCGCTCTAATAATGATTTTAAATTTAGTGCGTTAAAATTAATTGACATTTATTTATTTGTAAACTAGACAAGAATAAATTTTTAATACTGTAAATATCATAGATGTCTAGACTATATAATCATGATTTAATGACTTTTAAAGTAAGGCCTGCAAAATCTTTGTTAATAAAGTTATATGGGTTGGTATATATGTACATGAGTACTATATTGCTGATACCACTAGTTAGTAATATGAATGTGGTGTATTTTATGGCTTTTGTAATTTTATTTATAATATAATTACGAAAGCTTGTGAGTATGGATGGATAAATGGATGTTTGTTACTCTTTCACGCAAAAAATACTGAACGGACATTGATGTAACTTCTTACAGTCTTTACAGTAATACAGCTTATACATCAGAATAAAATATAGGCTATATATTTAAAAGATATGTAAATTAGGCGAAGTATAATGATAAATGTCAAGTAAGTGTGATGCAGATGAAGTTGTCAGATAATAAATAAAACAATATTTTAGTATCCTGTTGGACACATACCTACAAGTTCAGTGCAATACTGAAATATAATTTATGCCTTATTGAATTTTGGTAAGGAGAATATGGTTACTTGTTTTGGATATAACATATGTTTAATGTCCAACATTTTAATTATCGTGCATTACAATGCATGTTAGTTTTGTTAATGAATCATTTTTAAACGCCTTCAACGATGGAAGAAATTGTATTATATTTTTTTTTTGTATGTTACTTCGCTAATTTAGTTAATCCCATCAGATAGTTCTTGTGTATGTCATATTTATGTATCTCTATATACCAGTAAAAAATAAATATGGTATCCGTAGTCCCGATAATATGCGATAATTATTTTTCTGTTAATCACTGAAGTTTTAACGATTGTTTTATACACGCTTAATGCTTTTTTTCTATAAATACAAATGCAGCAAATACTTGATTACTCCATTATAATTGAAATAAACTAGGCATAAAGTTTCTTAATGAATCGCTTTTAACTGCGCATATATAGCACTTTTGGGATTTGACCTAATTTCTGTTTCTGTACCTACCACGATTTAATTCCGCATTTTAGTACATATTATTATTATCATTTAAACACAGTTTATTATCGTAAATGCGTCTTTACTGTATTATTACGAATTGTTCGGTTAATAGCGGTCATTTTTATGGACATTGGCATACAATTCTCATGTTTTTAAGACCTTATTAAAATGTCATTATCAATTTTATTGATACTTGTTTTTTTGCGTTGAATTGTATAAATATGGTAGCAATATCTTTATTGGAATTATGTAAGGTCCATTCCGACCCAAAACATGATAAAATCCATTATTGGTCGCGGTCCACCTGGTGTTATGTACTACTAATTGAAGTATCTTCCGTGTTGAAATAGAATTATGTAAAACCTAAATAAACATAAATTGTGTTATCAATATTATTGCATACAATATATATTATCATGATTATATTGGAACGGAATTCTTACAGTGGTAAACTTACTTATTGGAGTTATATCATGTTTTTTTTGTTATTGGAACAGCAAGCTAACGACTAATTTGATGGAAATGGTACTTGTTGTTTATAAAAATACACACAACAAAATAAGTATAACTCCTTCAGACTTCACGCATTGTCATAACTGAGAACTAAGGTGTCATTTCGTTAATAACAAACTGATTTAACTAATATTTAACTAAATGTTTAACTAAAGTTAGTAATTCGTTTTATGGCAATTGCGTAAGGTATTACAACAAAATACCAGAGTCTGTTTTAAATCTGCCAGAAAAAAGATTTAAATGTTATATAAAATACTTCCTTTGCAAAAAAGCTTACTATAAAATTGAAGAATTCGTTAAGGACAATAATGTTTTTATAGAAAAACTTAAAATCCATAGCACTCTATTATCTGATTACACTAATAATGAGTGCGTAGCGTTCTATGTTGATTATCGCATGCCTCTTACTTGTTATACTGCAATTATTATATAAAAAATCATCTATTCAAAAGAGCAACACTCAAGTTTCTTGCTCATTCTTCTTGTGATGAATCTGCATTCCGAATGAGTGGTAGATTCAAAATATGACTATTCAAAAGTACTTGTAATGAGTTTATTTGAATAAAAATTATTTCTATTTCTATATATCAATTTTCACTCCAGTAGAGACAGAAGGTAGGGGAAATTAAAGAAGACAGAGGTGCACACGCAGACCTCTTTGTACAAAGTTTTACTCTGGTGAACATTTTATCTTATTCCTATTGTTTATACATCAATGGTAAAAAGAAAGTGTAGATATGTTTTCATAATGTACTATTTATTGTATTATAAAGGAAAAATAAAACTACAATAAGTAATCAACTGTGTAAATAACAAACCAACCATTTACTCTACCAATTTTATGTTTTTACGAATGATCAATAACACGTTTAAAACTGAACACTTCCTGCGATATTGTCATTCATGATTCAGTGAAAAAATGTTTATGTTATGTCACCTCTACATGATGAATATCCGAGATTGAGTCTTGTGCATCTAAGTCTCTCTTTCGATCGTGGTCGAGTCGCTCACGATTCCCCGTCGACTAGATCGAGCTGCGATGTACGACTGTGATTTTTGAAGCTTTGATCTTATCTGATTATAAATTACCTCTTTTTTTAAGAACCGTATCATTGGTTTTTGTTAATATATATCTTCTTTTTTTAGTACGCAATGCGGATCGACGGCAACGGGCACGACACCGACAGTGGCGTCTACAGTGGGCGCAGACGGTGCGCCGTCCTTAGCCGAGGCGTGCTCCGACGGAGATGTGGGCACAGTGCGGAAACTCCTCACGGAAGGGCGCTCTGTTCACGAGACAACGGAGGAGGGCGAGTCGTTGCTCTCATTGGCCTGCTCCGCGGGATATTACGAACTAGCTCAAGTGCTGCTAGCTATGCATGCAAGCGTCGAAGACCGCGGCATAAAGGTGAATACTTCATAAGTGACATGCGACGTTTCATTTTCATTTTTATAAAAAGTAGAATCTATTACGACATGACAAAGCCTAAGTTTCGAACATGTCTACTTCGATTGGTAACTAATTTTGATTCAGTTTAGTAAATTAAACTATAGTAACTATTTTTATTTCTGAAATGAACCAATGATGACCAAAAAAAGATGGATGGATTGTGTGAAAGATGACATGTATAAAAAGATAGTAAGTTCAAATATGACGGCTGATAGGGTTCAGTGGAAAAGGACATACTGCACTGACTCTAAACGTGATAAAGGCAGTGCAATGATGATGATGTTATTTTCGAAATAAAAATTTAGGTGAACACTATAAAATCCGTTACATTTGTAAATAATTAACAAGTGAACGTTGTAATAATAGGGCGACTGCACACCCCTGATGGAGGCTGCGAGCGCCGGTCACGTGGATATCGTCCGGTTACTGATCGCTCACGGCGCGGATGTGAACGCCGTGTCCGGGTCCGGGAACACGCCGCTGATGTACGCCTGCGCCGGCGGACACGAGGAGTGCGTGCGCGCGCTGCTCGAGAACGGCGCCAACGTCGAGGACCACAACGAGAACGGACACACGCCGCTCATGGAGGTTCGTCCAACATTAACATTGCTTATGACTGTATGACACAAACGAACTGTCTTCAATCGTAACAGTTGCAAATGTAATCATTGAAATCTGGTAGTTTTGACACATATTCTACTAAAATTTAGATTCTTTTTAATTTATTTCTTTTTTAATTTTTCATCATGCAAAATCAAGTCTGAAATATTTATTCAAATATAATGAACCATGGGATGAAAGTAACAATACTTTTATAATGTAAACAAATATATTTCAAACAAGAAACAAAGTTAAAACAACTTTTTAACTTTATTAAGCAAAAGTTTAAAAGCTATAAACATTATTTTGTCAATGTTAAAGGTTTTGTTAATATTAAAGTTAAAGTTAATCGGGTTTCAAAATTTTCTTTTGTTTAAACATATGCTAAATAAACCTTCTTCTATATTAATAATTCGTAGTAAAGACGAAAGTTTAAAAAAAACATTAATTTGAATATTTTTTTTTATGTAAAAATGTTGATATATCTGTATTTCTTATTAATTTAATAGTCATTAATTAATAAGAAATACACTATAGCTATACCTAACCGACTTAAACGTTTAAACCAGGCCGCATCCGCGGGACACGTGGGCGTGGCGAAAATCCTCCTCGAGCACGGCGCGGGCATCAACACCCACTCAAACGAGTTCAAGGAGTCGGCGCTGACGCTGGCGTGCTATAAAGGCCACCTGGACATGGTGCGGTTCCTGCTGGCGGCGGGCGCTGACCGAGAACACAAGACGGATGAGATGCACACGGCGCTCATGGAAGCCAGCATGGATGGACACGTGGAGGTCGCGAGGCTGCTACTCGACTCTGGTGCTCAAGTGAGTTACAATTGACAGTTGCTTCTCAATATATATACTCAAATATTCTATATCTTCGCAAAAATCTTCACGTCTTTTCAAAGAGAAGTCGTATTCATAATACTAGAATTAAATAAAAAAAAACAAAAGGAAAACCAGGACTAACTGTTCACATATTGAACCAATTTCACAAATTTCACAACATTAATTTTGTTAAATTTGACAAAATTACATATTAAGGTGACACAAATCGACTTTATAAAATTATTATGAAAAGAACAAAATTACTGTAACAAATATTGAATTTAAACAAAATATGTTACATATACATGTAAGTATTTTAGATATTGGTTAATTCTGAATGTCTCGACTCTTCGTCTTTATGTAACGGATCGTATCCAGTATAATATAAATTCGATTCTTTATTTGACTGTTTGATTTCAATTATATTTGCTTTAATGTGATTACACAATACGGCGTTAGTAATGGAAGAGAGCGAGCGGCGATGCTTCACTAGTAATGTATCCTGTAACAGTATTAGAAACTTTAATGAGAATATTCTTCAAATTATTATTATTATTATTTATTATTCAAAGATGGGCTAGGTTGTTATAGTAATGTGTTTGGTGCAGGTGAACATGCCGACGGACAGCTTCGAGTCGCCGCTGACGCTGGCGGCGTGCGGCGGCCACGTGGACCTGGCGCTGCTGCTGCTCGAGCGCGGCGCCAACATCGAGGAGGTCAACGACGAGGGCTACACGCCGCTCATGGAGGCCGCCAGAGAAGGTCCGTACTCAACAATTGTTTTAATATTAATCTACGTATACAATCAATCGGAAAGGAATGCGTCAAGCAGGTTCGCCTTCAACCGACCAGCGACGACTGTAACCAGCACTGTTAACCTGTAGGTCGAAGAAAATGTAGTACCGCCTTTAGTCCTTGGTATTTGCAAATGCAAAAAGCAATCACTACTTGTCGACTTTACAGCTCCTTATACCGTTTACTGTTTGCTACTCTTTCTCGTAAAAACTACTGCACGGATTTTGATGAAACATTATAGTAATATAACTTATACATCAGAATAACATGTAAGCTATAAATTTCACTAACCTATAGCCTATATGTTATTCTTGCTAACCGGGGTCACTGCATGATTGAATAAAAACAGATTCTTAAATTTTTTTGGCCAATTGTAGCCTTAATTTTACATTTGGTCTTAGGTCACGAAGAGATGGTGGCGCTACTGCTAGTGCAAGGAGCGTCAATTAATGCTCAGACTGACGAGACCCAGGAGACAGCGTTGACGTTAGCATGCTGCGGTGGTTTCCTTGAGGTGGCTGGCTTCCTCATCAAGTCAGGTGCTGATGTTGAACTCGGCGCGTCCACTCCTCTCATGGAAGCATCCCAAGAAGGTCACCTCGAACTCGTACGGTAAGTAATTAGTCATAAAAATAATCATTTTAGTATTTGTCTACTGATGGATCTAGTCTTTATAGATGAATTTGACGTTATACTGGTAGCGAATGACATCAGTCGTTAAATCCGCCATGTGTATATATTTTTTTATGTGTATATATTTTTTGTATCTGTTAGCTTTTTTATTCTATAAATTGAGTGTATTTTGTTGTAGATTTTAAAACTTTAATATTTTCTTTATTGAGTTTTAAAATACAGTACCAATAATGAGCTTATCCCTAAAAGACATCATTTCTAGTCACTTAGCATAATAACATGTGACCGGGAAGTGGTATTGAAAGTTATTAATTGAAATATTTCAACAACAAAGTAGTATAAATAATGAATGATGCACATTGAATGTAACGTAACGTGTAGGTTCCTGCTGAACAACGGCGCGGACGTACACGCGCAAACGCAGACGGGCGACACCGCGCTCACGTACGCCTGCGAGAACGGACACACGGACGTCGCCGACCTGCTGCTGCGGGCCGCCGCGCTCCTCGAGCACGAGAGCTCACTGTCGGCGGACGCACGCCGCTCATGAAGGCCTGCCGCGCCGGACACGTGTGCACCGTGCAGTTCCTCGTCGGCAAGGTACGCGCCCGTGCTCACTCTCACTGCTCACTGTCGGCGGACGCACGCCGCTCATGAAGGCCTGCCGCGCCAGAGACATCCACATTTCTGATTCTACAATATTGATTGATTTGATGCGTTGGCCGTACACAACATACTGCTTTCACATCGGCCTATTCCTATAGAGCAGTATCCCAGGACTGCCAAGACGTCAATTATTTTCTGATAAACAAAATTTTCAGTTCACGATCCAAAATAAGAAAAACAATGATGTGTGAATGTTTATGACCTAGTTAAGCATAGCAATGCCTGTGTCAGGTAAATCCCGCTCTCCATATCCATTACCATGTGTATGTTTTAAAAAGAAAAATTTTAAACAATCTTCAAATACACCTAAATAAAAATGTCATTCTAACATTGTATTCATATGTTTTAAAAATTTTAGGGTGCAGACGTGAACCGTATGACCGCCAACGGTGATCACACGCCGCTGTCACTGGCTTGCGCGGGAGGGCATGCTGACGTGGTCAAGTTCTTACTGGCCTGTGATGCTGACCCTTTCCGCAAGCTTAAAGACAATTCCACCACCCTCATCGAAGCAGCCAAGGGTGGTCACACCGCTGTAGTCCAATTGTTACTCGACTATCCTCACTCCGTGATGTTGCCCAGAGGTATGTATATTTGTTTTATAGTATAGTGTATCGAACACCATTGTATCATTCAGTATAGTGTATTGAAATTTCCAACACAGTTTTATACTTCTAAGAATGTTATCATTGTTTTGTAATTTTGTACATGTTTCAGTTTTCAAAAATATATAGGTGTTGGAATAGTAAATGATAATGTTAATGTTACAATAATAAATTTTATATCATTCTAATGTTGAAAATTAATAATTATTTCTTGTGTAAATATTATATGAACCCAGGTATGATTATACTTTATGTACGATAGATGTGCGTTCTCTTCATTATTGACTCTATAAATTAATGGAAAATAATTGTATTGTAGATAAACTAAAAAGTATTTGTATTTGAAAAACTGTTTAATTACCATCTATATATCGCCAAAATAGAATTATACCGTTTTCTACATGCTTTGCTATATTCCAAAGTTCGGTATGTGGGGGAAAAGCACTAAAAAGGAATTTCTGAATTTTGTGCGTGGTCATTGCTGCCTTTATACGTACGCTCCTTCACGTGCGAAACGTCTTACACGCAGGAAATATTGTATATGTAAACGTAGACAAAAAGAAAGAGAAAAACCGCAATAAAATCTGGAATAAAAAATTATATTTTAAAAGAAGTGACTTGATTATTGTACTTTTTTACTATACTATTCTACACTATTTGCGTTAATTATGGAAGCGTATTTTACGAGCTTTATATATCGCGCAAACCGGTGAAATAGATATACTTACGAGCGAGTGTGCTGAAAGGAGAGAGTTATAAGACTGCGCGTGTGCGGCAGGTAACGGCGGCGGTGCGGAAGAGAGCGGCGGACTGAGTGCGGCGCAGGCGGCGGCGTTGGGGCTCAGCCACGCGCCCGCGCCCGGCGCACAGGCACGCGCCCTGCTGCCCGCGCACCCCCACCCCGCGCACCCCGCGCACCCGCCGCACCCCGCCGCCGCGCACCCCCCGCACGCCCCGCCGCCAGCCGCGCCCGCGCCCGCACCCGCCCCCGCGCCCGCGCCCGCACCCGCGCCCGCGCCCGCCTCCGCGCCGCAGAAGGCGCCCCTCGACCTCCCGTCTAACTTCGCCAAGGTCTACCACGACGGTGAGTGTACGAGTGCTTTTACGATTTTTTTGTTTTATGATACTCTGTTAGGAATGTGTTATCTTTTCATTTTTACAAATGTATATAAAATTTCATACTTCGTTTCTTTACATGTGTGAATGTTAAATTTATACTGTTATTACTATGGGTATATACAACGGTAGTCCTTTGAAAAGATCGAGTATTGCGAAATATTTACTTACAACGACGTTTATTCAATTCAACACGCAAGTTTTTCGCTCATTCTTCTTGTTAAGAGTCGACGTTCCTAATGAATGGTAGAATTAAAGAAAAATACTTTATTCAAAAGAACTTTTATAAAGTTTATGGAAATAATGATTATTTCTATCTACTCTAGTGCGCAAGAAGTTAACGACGAACAACGGCGGGGCGAGTGCCAATACGGGCGATGCGAACAGCGCGGCGGCGGCGACTCGTGGCAGCGCGGGCCCCGCAACCGGCGGCAACGGCAGCGGCAACAGTAGCGGAAGCGGAAACGGAAGCGGGGGCGAACCGGACGCGAGCTACATCGCGGGGATGATCGCGAGCGCGATGGCAGTGGGAGCGACCACCCGTGATACCAAGCACAAGTGTCCTCGTAAGCAGCGAGCGCCCGCGCCCGCAGACCACCACTTGCCTCCGCCGCCTGATATACTCGACGACCAGGTGAGGAACACACGCACACTCACACATACGTACATGTATACGTCTAATATTTTTGATTTCTGTAATTTCATTGAATGTTAGACATAGACACTTACATAAGTATACACTGTAAATAAAATTGTTTAAAGAAAAATAAATTCAGTTGAATTTGTTGCCTATGTATATATGTGCAGTAATTGAGTTTGTATACTAAACTGGACGGTAGAGAAAAATATTCATGCAAAAAACTTCATAAGTGTCTAAAATGTTCTACATGAATTAATGATTTTTTATTTTATGTAGGTTTCAATCGCGTGAAATTTATATGTTATTCTTATTATTGTAAAGTTTCATTAAAATCCATTCAGTAGTTTTTGCGTGAGAGAGTAACAAATATCCATCCAAACAGACAAACTTTCACGTTTATAATATTGGTATGAATATACTTCTAATCTTCGCTTAGATTTAATCTTATTGACAGTATAGAGAAGACAATTTCTCGAATTGAAAGAACACACGAAAAACAACCTTCTAGCGATTGTCGGAGGTTCGATTCCTCGAATATTTCAATTAGTTTGTTAGCCTTAATAATCCGAAATTGTGCAAGGTCTGCATATCACTTTTATACAAAACGAATCTGTGCTTCTTTATTATAATAAAGAGAGTCATAATCTAGAAACGTGTAAATGTGTTTGCCGAGATGAATATATAATGTTCACTTGCCGTAGATGTCCCATGGGAGCATGGCTAAGTTATCTCTCCCGCCAGGATTCACGTGGAAAGATGTTAACAAGAGAAAGAAAAATAATAAAAAATGCAATGTTGAGAACGACTTCATTGAAGTGAGTTTTCTTCATTAAGTTAGTAAAATCTATGGTAGTCTAATATTAGAATCTGTACTCTGTTCCAATAGAAATAAAATGGTAAAAAACATGGTCATTAACAAGACCATAGACAGTATAGTGATGTCAAAATTAGTATCATTGATCCATTGAGTTTCGATTTGTCTCTACATTGATTATATATGTATATGATAGTATTGTTGAAAAAACAAAATCTAAGATTTGACAGACTAAGTAAAATTTCCTTACATACATATGTTATTACTACTTATTATCATATTTTTTAAAAGTTAATGCAATTAAAGAATTAAGACTATTTCGTATTTAGTATAATATAAACATTGGTTTTTGCTGTATGTCAATGTGAATAATGTTAGTATCACCCGAAATGAAATATTTATTTAACACATTTGAAATATTATTGAAAAAGGCGATTTAAAATTAATATTGTTTATAAAAATTATATGTATATGCAATTAAAATATATATTTTTTTGTATTATTTATTGTATTTATAGTTTCTGATAACTTCGACAAAACTAAACATAGTTTTGTCAAAATTATCAGAAACTTTGACCATTTTAAGAAATGTATTGAAACAGAGTACAGTAAAGTTAATTTTATCTGTAAAATAGATTATAGCTTATATTATTTTGTTTGCTATTGTTCTTTGTAGTTCTAAAGCAGATATTATAATGATTAGGTTCATGTTAATTGAACTCTAATTTATTAAACGATTCAGTTAATTATATGTTGTATGGATAATACTAGTTTGAAAATAATACTAGTCTTGTGCCGTAATAAGACAGATTACACAAAGGATTTTAGAATAAAAAAAAACGAATTTGTTGAAAGCACAAATAGTATCCAAATCATTGATTGATTGAAACTATTCTGATTTATAAAAACAAATAAGTTTCACGTATCAAATTTTACTATTGAAGGAATTATAAAAAAATATTTTAACAATACTAGAAATATTTAGAAAAGATAAAAATATTAATTGCTCCTAAAATAATATATTTTCTGTTGTATAGCATGCCCTATATGGTTACCAAACTTAAATCGAATGCTTGTTTAATTTATTTTGCGTTCATTAGTATTCAGTAATTTCGAGACAGTGCTAAAATTCCAGAAACTTCTGGATCTTTACGGACATCTACAGCAGCTGTCAGTTGATTATTATTTTTTCACATACTTACATTGTTGACTCGTTACAGAGAGTGGAGGCACTCGTGAGCCTTCGAAACGAAGCATTACCAGAGACTGAAAGAAACCTACTCGAATTGGCCGATACCTCAGGTAAGATATCCTATTATATGCAATCTAATATATGTATAAACACTTACATTGTTTTATTGGTGATGATAGAAAGAGAATGAATCTGGATTTATTACCCCACATAATGAATTTACCTGGACAGTGGTTGCTAGGGGGACTAGTTGAAGGGTGTTAAAGTGACTTTATTACTAGCAATGTGATGAATATTGCTAGTCGCTCTTTATTAGGGTCCCTACACCCCATTACTATGAATATTCTCCGATATATATTACTAATTTGATAAAAACAATACTATAAAATTCGGTGGAAGTCAAAGATATAAGTGAGGTGTTGTTGTATAAAGGTCCGCCGACGCTGGCCACGTCGGCTCTACACGCGCTCGACCTACAGTTCTGCGCGCAAGGCAAGTTGTCCTACGGCCCCGTCATTGCATCCCTTCATTTCGTCCCCTAACACCGCATTGGGTGGTACGGCAATATCCAGTTTTAAAATAAAAATGTTTTTATCGTGTTATAATATCAATGCTATTGAGTATTTAATGAATTATTACCCTAATATATATGTATATTGCCTTATCACCCAGTACTCACATCTATATGACATCAATTCGAGAATAATATTTTTATATAAAACTAATTACTATAACCGCTTATGTAAATTCTATATAATACTCACAAAAGGAAGCCAATACCCTTATTACATAATTCCTACTCACAAAAAAAAGTTTTTTTTAATCTAATTTAAATATTTTCAACTGAACTCATTGTTGATCTATGTTATCCTGCATTATCAATTATCTTTACTACTACTGAAACTCTCTTGATATTACTCTTAATACACTACATATCTCATTAATATAACTTCTAAATAATTACAATGTCATATTAAAAAAAAAGCATCATCATTAATAATACAAGGGTAGTGAACCATTTCCCTTAGTAATATCTCAATCACTTTTTATAAAGACATTATTAACTCTTATTAAAATTAAAAGCAAAATTAACGATACTACTACCACTAGTAAATGTGTTAAATTATTTACCATTGTGTTTATGTTTTCTATACAGGCGTAACGACGACCATCCACCCTCCTTCGACCCCACCCTACCCTCCACCGCAGCAGTTATTCCCTGTGCAGCAGCTTGCAAGCAATTTAAATCAGGTACGTGCTAAAGTAATACTATTTTTTGACGTTCTCGGTGGTCTAGCGGTTTAGCACACCGCTTTAGTTCCAATGGTCGCGGTTTCGATTCCTTGCACGGTACAAAATTTGTATTTAGGAATATTATTGTTTGTATCGGTCTGGATGTTTTCTATGTATATTATTTATTATTATATATATATACAAAAAAATAATAAGGTATTTATATCAATTGTTTAGTACCCATTACACAAGCTGTGCTTATATGTGGATCTACATGACGTTGTGGGAATTGTTCAGGATTACTATTATAATTTTTTAATTATATAGACTTTATTTATTTATTATTTCGAACACAAAATTATATTAATGACGGATTAATGCCTGTTGGCATTCTCTGCCAGCCGCGCAGATCAGAAGTAAGGCATATATAGACCGGGGTGTATTAGGATTCTTCTGTCTTGGAAAACGTTACCCTCGCGTGGAGGGGGTAGACGATATATCGCGTTACGAGAGAATGAGAAAGACTAGTTGCGGCGGAGAGAGGACAATGGCAGTTTGTTAAAGTTTCAGTTCTACTGTGTCCTAGCACACAGTCCTTTTTGTAATTTATGTATTAAATTAGCCGTCTCCCATTGCTATAACATAAACCAATAAACTGAGTAAGTAAGGATTTTGCACATATACAAATACAGTTACTTAAACATAAAAAAATAATATTAAAAAATATGTGTTACATATACTGTGTGTCCCCAGTGTTTATTCAGTAATATTTTTATTTGTTGAGTAAATTATTATATACATGAAGTAGATACGTACTTTGATAAAACTTAGAACAGGCTAATTATTATGTTCAGTGCAGACAAATCATATTAACAACGCTGATCTTTATAATCTTTCTCATTCAAGATATTTTGTTAATTGAAATCGTACTAAATCGCTTTTCGCATACAAAAATCAGAACGTTATTATACAAGACCGTGTGAGTGGTAGACCAACACGCAAATACAAGTTTCTGCTGCTGGAAGTGCTTCAGCGGCTCGGGCAGCACATTAGTGAAGTGGGTGCTGTCACGGTAAACTTCGTGACTGTATTAACGACCCATATAACTGTATTTTAGACTGATAGTTCCCATTTGTAATCGTTGAATTCATCGGATATGCTATTGTGATTACCGTCAATAATCGATTAATATCAATACTGGAATACGTGTTGGGGGGCGTGCTTTGAAAATTTTGGAAAAGTCCAATTCAAATATACTCATGAGTGGAATATATACATACTCTGTGCTGACATTCGTTTGTGCCTGGGTTTGGCAGGGTGTCCAGATTCGTCCCTGGAAACTCGACGTCTCCAGTACAAATTTGTTTGGCAGGGTGTACATATTAATAGATCAGAATTAAATATCCGGGTCCGGACTGGTCCAGTCCCACATTTCGATCGACGGTGCAACTACAACGTGTACTCAATATATTTATTTTTGTGTCCCGCTTCCAACAAAACAATCCTGCCTTTTTGTATTGAAAAGGTAGCAAAACCCTGCATTAGATTTAAATATAGCAACGTTGGACACAATATTTTTTAAATATTTTATCAATTTTAACACCGAGTTTATATTTCGAATGGCTTCAGATTATCGAATGGACTTGCATAGTAGACGGATATTGAATCGTATCAATGTCTATCATAGTGCTACAAGTCTTTTAAAATAGTCACACGATTGCTTATGCTAATAATAATCACGATAGCATGTTATATTATAGTCACATAATGTAGAGTAACTATCTTCATAGGCTATTGATGACTAACTAATAGCCCCGAATCCGACCCCGGCTGCGAGATAATCACGCCCAACTTTTTTTTTGTCGTAGATTTAATTTTTACCTATGTATTTATTGCTGAATATATTCATACCAGGTGTGCCTATCAAAATGTGACCGCGTATTTTTAATTAAAGGAATATATATTTATTTTCCGGATGAAAAATATAATACACTTAATGGCAATATAAGTAAAAACTTTATATAGACACCCAGTAAAAATATATTTCAGTATATATAAAGGAGCGTAAGAAATTATTTTTATTTAAATAAATAACTTGGTAATCTCTCGCAGCTATCTCTTACATTAGAATTTGTAAATATTACTGTACAAGATAAGAGATCTTTATCTCACATTTTTGTTTATACATATAATGAGATAAACGTAGGGGAACGTGGAGTACAGTGGTTACTTTTTATCTTCACATTTTCTACCCCAGATTGATTAGTGGATTAATGAAAACCTAGAGGATACATATAAGTTTGAAACAACATTGTAAAAATAGCCGTACAAATACTTAATAATAATATAATCTAGTTTTTTTATTTAAAAGAATATAAAATTTTTCGCTCTGAGTAATTTGGTGTATAATATATATATCTGTGCAGAGTCGTGTTCAGAATATTCATCAGTTTAGCTACAGGTATAATTTTTTACCCTAAGATATTTGAAATATTTGTTTTTCCGTATGCAGACCAATATTGGTCTTTCTTATCCTATATCGTGGCATTTTACCTACAAAAATGCTTTTAATCTGTCACTGTATCCCAACTCAAAACGATCAGCTATACCCCACTGATAGAAATCCGATTGAAAAAATCGCAATGTTTATTTTATTTGGTAAATAAACAAATCACAAATCCCTCTACATTAATCACAGACCATAACAAATAATTAAATCTTGCAAATCTTTGCACACAGAAAGGCAACAAGTTTTAGAAAAACATGTAAAAAATACAGCACATTAGTCGTCAAATAAGATAAAAAGATGTAAAAAAAATTTATCTGACTTGTCGACTAGTATGCTACGACGCAAACTCTATCTCTGAAATGAAGATAGCGACTAGTTAGAACGCGGAAGAAATGTAAAAGCGACAACGTGGCAAGTGTTTTTGTACACTCCATGCAAAGCTACGATGATCTCTCCACTGTACCCCACGCTCACCTAAATATAAAAGAATATTACCATCACGTCATCATAACGTATAGATCTCGACATTATAATTTGTAAATATACTATAGCTTAAAATATATTTATCTAGTCCTTTTCATAAAGTCGTACATAACGTGTATAGTTTTAGAGGCGTTGGGTTTAATATAACCATTTACTAAAATAAGCTTAATATTGCTTTGTAACATTGAAGTCATAGAAACTTTAATATCACAGCACCAACTTCAAGAGCTACAACAACAGCAGTACCAACAACTAGCTGTACAGCAACAGCAACAACAGAAGAAGCAACAACAACAGGCGGTGCAGTACGCACCAGAAATGCAACAGAGGCCCGAAGCATTTGTTCCGCAGGTATGTATTTATTAATACTGGAGTATTTTAAATTTGACGCGGTCATTATTTATACGTACAATTAAGAAAAATCACAGGATTTTACCACATTTTATTTTTATTGAGTTCCTGATATTTCGGCAGTATTACCACCTGACTGACTGAAGATGAGCTGGTGGATGGTAGGTAAAGTATTTTATGGGCAGGCATACTTGTGTCACACGTCATCGTTTGTGAAACTTTATTATTTAATATCTATTATTGAAACTTGCACTATATTTATCTCAGCAAACTATATCGTATACACTATTTTCACTTAATACTTAAACTTAATCTGATCGCGATTTTTGTTTTTGTTTAAAATTAAACCAATTATGGGATTCTAGTCATTATACAGCCATTATAGATACCAGCTAGAGCAATAACTCAGCTGCATCGGAAGCTGGCTCTGCCAATATGCCATGGAATACGTCTAACATATTTTACTTTAGATTTTGGATTATATATTCTCTTTGAATGCGTAAGAAATATATTCCATCTAAATAGGATGAAAAACATCAAATTTGTTATATGTGTATATTATATGTAAAAAAATGTATTGAATAGTGCAGAATAAAAGCTTCTTTATTTTTAAGCAAATTTATTTAATGGACAATAACCGGAACGCTATTTCGTCTATTAATTATTAGTGTGAACCAAGGAATACGAGGATTATATTGTATCGTTTTATACCATATGCTCTTTGACTTGGATACCCATCAAAATATTTTTTCACTCTTTTGTTTTTATACTTGCTTAGTATATCTGAATAATCTGGGTATAGAAGTATACAGTGGCGTTACCCCTTTATACTAGCTTAGTATCTCTGAATCTGGGTATAGAAACTATAATATAGAGAGTGGACGTGTGTAATGGTCAGGGCGGCGGCGTGGGCGTGGGCGTGGTGGACGAGTCGATGTTCACGGGCGCGGCGGAGGCCCGCGAGCTGAGCGCGGTGCTGGCCTACCTGCAGCGGGAGGTGCCCTCGCTGGTCGCGCTGCCGCCCAACGAGCTGCGCTCACTCGTGCTGCAGGTACGATTTTACTATTACTACCACAGCTACAGACTGTTTCTTATCTTCTCTATAGACAAATTTGATATTGTGTTGCCATGTTTTTGCGATTTGTAATTATATTCTAGTTTTTTTTTATTTCGGAGACAAATTTGATATTGTGTTGCCAGGTTTTTGCGATTTGTAATAGGATTGTGGCACTATCAGACATAAATATTAATGACTTATTTTTATAGGTTACTCAGAAATAATATGCGTGTGTATTCAAAACGCCCTTATTCAAATTACTTTCGTATGGTGTCATATTTCATAAATTACTTATTATTTATTATTATTAGTAGTAGATCTACTATCGCTTATTAAGAGTGACCTTAAAGTCCAGTTACATGAAAAAAAAAAATGGCTATGCGCCTCCTACATCTTCTTTTACGACACCATGTCTAGCGGCCAGACATGGAGTAAGCTTCTAGCATTTGTTTTTAATACTAAACCACGATTACTTTGGCAGGTGATGCAACAGAAATCCCACGAAATTCTATCAATGAAGTGCGATCAAGGTTCATGTGACATGGACTGTTGTGAGGACCTCGAGGAAAGACAGGCGCGGCGCCGCATGGCATCCGCCGAGCCAGCGCTTACCACGGACTGGTCTCCGCGACAGGACCATCACCATCATCTTCATCACCACCACCACATGGATCTAACGGTGATCACAGATTTAATATTTTTTCAATTCGATACAATTTCCAATTATGTCTTTAATGTGACTTGAAATTTTCAAAGTTAACCTTTAAATTTGACAGTTTTGCAAATATATTAGACAGTTTTTCTCTAATATATATATAATGTATTTTGGGGGATTACTCCTCGACTAAATCACGCCCGTACTAACGTCGATTGTTATACTAGAATATGGATTGGTGAAAGTTTAAGACCATATGGTTTGTCGCCATATAGGTTCCCAGTGCTTGCCAGTACCGCGTGAGGCCGACGTCGCCGGGCGCGGCCCCGGCGGCGGCGGGCCCCGCGGGCCCCGCGGCGGTCGTTGACCCCGGCGCGGGCCCGCACGCGCGCCCCGACGACCAACAGCCCACGCCTGACTTGCAGCCGTTTGCGTTGCCACCGCCGGGTGCCACCATACCTTTCGAAGACTACAGGTAAAACTACCGCTTCCAACCGACTCATATTTGCACTAACATAGTAAAGACATCTTAAACTTATAGGATTATAAGGAAGATATACAATTTGAACGTATCATGTTTAATTACTAGTACTTCTTAATAATATTTGTCACTGAGTAATTAGATAGAAACTTTTATAAATTATATACAATTACGAAACAATATTTCATAATGTTACAGTCCGTGATTTAAATGTAATACAAAATGACAAGAAATATTGTACATTTTTTCATTATGAATGTGAAGTTTCTTGTAATTAACTGTAATCAAGTGCAGCAGTGTACTCGATTTATGTGGTAGATTCTAGTAAAACTGTATTACATTTGGGCCAAATTAATACATCAACCTTGTCTTTGTAAGCAAAACAACATCCATGGCGTTTTACAGTTGGACCAAATTAATACCACAACCTTACGGTTGTTACGGTTCGGTTAATACTTATATTACTATAGTAAAAGGCAAAACGGCACAGTCTGCAAATGTTATAATGTAATATCACAATTACATATCAAATATTGATTTCACCATACATTGTTATTATATTGTCATTATATAATGCACTAGCTGACCCTCGTAATTTCGTTTGCGTTTCATTTACCCCTTTTGCAATATTTTTCATTACAGCTCCCCTCTCATTGGCCGGCCGTAGCGTATTGTTATATAGCAAGCTTTCCTCGACAAATGGACTATTCAACATAAAAATAATTTTTCAATTCAAACCAGTAGTCCCTGAAATTAGTGCGTCCAAACTCTTTAGCTTTATAATATTACTATAGATTGAACGAAGTAGACGTAGGGGAGTGTGGGCAGGTATGAGTAGAGATGAGGTAGTAACGTGAATGCTCGTCCGCAGGACGGGGGGTCCACTGCCGCAGCCGCCTGCGCCGGCGTTGGTGCCGCAGCCGCAATACAAGCGCGACCAGCACCACCACGCCGCCACCACCACCACCACCACCGCCACCAAGAAAAAGGTAACCGACCGTCTCTATTGAAATTATAATATTAGTAATTCTCAGATAAAGACCCGAGTTCATATTCACAATTAATAACGAGTTGAGCGATAGATGATATATATATTTTTTAAATACATAAACATACATAGAAATCACCCAGACCGATAGAAACAATTGTACTCACAAATACAAATATTATGGACACTAGTTAACTGACATACATAGTTATTTCCTTTTTTTAAATACATACGTAACATACACAAAACAGTCAGTATTACAAATAATTTACTCATTAATACAAATGTTTGTGCTTTATCAGCACTCTATAAACCTGAAGTCTATGATGATAGATAACAGAACATAGGAAACACCCAAACCTATATAAGTAATCGCACCCACGAATACGAATGTTCGTAACGGACCGGGCGGGAAATGTGTCGGAGGGTTACAAGTGCGCGTGTACAGGGCCGGTTCGCGGGCACGGGGCGCACGGCGCGGGGCGCGGCGGCGGCGGCGGCGGCCGCGCCCGACTCGGGCCCCGGCACGCCCGTGGCGCCCGCGCCCGCCGCCTACTCCGCCATGGACGTGGACGGCGAGACCGACTCCAACCACGACACCGCGCTCACGCTCGCCTGCGCCGGCGGACACGAGGACCTCGTCGAGCTGCTGCTCTCGCGCGGCGCCGACATCGAGCACAGGGACAAGAAGGTACGCTATTGTTGTATACTGTACCGCTCTGGCCACTATTTTATTTATTTATCCTTTATTGCACTATTTAATGTTATTGAATGTCGAGGTGGATGTGTGGTGTGACAAGAATGGATAAGATAAAGAATGAATAAATTACAGGAAGTATGAAAGTGGCGCCTGTGTCAGAGAGGTTGAAGAGTAATCGTCTATCACGGTATGGACATTACATTCTTATGCATCGCATATGCATGCATCGCATTACTTATGCGTAGGAATGAGGATAATATTTTAAGGAAAGTGTTACATATGAATGTGGATGGTTATAAGGGCAGAGGAAGGCCGAAAAAGAGATGGATGGACTGTGTGAAAGATGATAGGAAGGAAGGAAATAACGCGATGACTGCGAACAGGGATGAATGGAAGAGAAAAACATATTACGCCGACCCCAAATAAATGGGATAAGGAAGAAGCAGATGATAATATTGCGCTATTTAAAATAATGTACAATTGGCTAGCTTAATGTCATATGGCATTCTCTATCAGCTAACCATTGGTAAAAACAGAAAGCAGTTAAAGGGTAGTAATGGGAAAAGGCATACTATTATATTGCATATTTTGTAAGTACATAGTGTACTCTTTCATTGACAGACTACTCGCTGGCCGACCACAATATCTAGGATAGACAGAACAATTGACTATAGACTGATACGACAAATACAACGAATGATTGAGAATTTAATAAAATATGTATGGTTTTGTTATTAGACAAGATCTCGCTTTTATTTAATATCGATGATTCTATTGTATGGTCTTAAGTATCATTTTTTTATTATTTATGACAAAATTACTTAACTGTTAAGTAACTTATTGAAAGTTTTGTCTGTCACCTGTAATGAATACATGTCACAATATATGTAATGTTCTATTTTTATAATGTTATTAAGAGTTATGACTCAGATAATTACCACTATTTGTTTATTTTTAACATTTCGGAACAAATTTATATCTAATTATATAATTTCTGTTGACATAAAATATACTAAAGATTACTAAATCCTTTTTATCCTAATATTTGCATGTTTAGTATAAAATACATAGGGTTTTATCATTGTCATCATCTTTGAAATAACAATATTTTCAACAATATACGTACATGTTTATAGTGATTATTTAGTTAAGTCTTATCTACTTGCCAAATTTATCTTTCATCTACTGTACAATTATGCAAACAGCATAAAATTAGTGAATACATTTAACTAATTTGATGAACAATTTTATTGTCATGTAAACTGACGTCACTTCATGCTCATTCTATCATCCTGCACTGGTGCCCCGTCAATGAATACCGTTAGCGCAGACACGTGCTTTATTCTATTATATTACCTAAAATACGCTGGCAAGGACTGAAATGTGAAATGTAATCAGTTGGCATTACTAACGATCCCCTTCCCCGTGCGTTCGACAGGGTTTCACCCCGCTAATATTAGCGGCGACGGCGGGCCACGAGAAGATAGTCGAGATCCTCCTGAACCACGGCGCGGACATCGAGGCGCAGTCGGAGCGGACCAAGGACACGCCGCTGTCGCTGGCCTGCAGCGGCGGACGGTACGAGGTGGTCGAGCTCATCCTCAGCCGCGGAGCCAACAAGGAGCACCGCAACGTCTCCGACTACACGCCGCTCTCGCTCGCCGCGTCCGGCGGCTACGTCAACATCATCAGGCTGCTGCTACACCACCAGGTAACTCGCCGGACCACCACTACACGCACACCGAGGAATCGCGCAGCTATTAGCTAAATCAGATGGACCTTATTCTTATCTTTTTTTATACTGCAATGGTGGCAACATTTTAGTATAAAAAAAGCTGCATGTAAATGTAGCATTGTATACTGTCGACGTCGTGGTGAATGTTTGAATTTTAAAAGACAAATTGGTCTAAGGTTGTCGAACGGTAAAGTTAACAAGCCTATAATCGTAGCTTGAATTAATTTTGTTGTTATATGGAGTTATAAGTTTTCATCATCGACGATAGTCAGAAATTTATTATAAATTAATATACAATTTTTTGTAGGTGTAGATCGGATTTGAATTTAACCGATTTAAATTCAAATCCGATCTACTCCTACAAAAAAATTATATATTAATTACCTACCGTAACATACTCGTAATACTTTTTCTATAGTTTTACTGTAACATTTTAAATTTGTTCAAACCAAATTGGACTGGAAAGTTATGCAATGAACTTATATATTTTATAGGCTGAAATAAACTCCCGTACTGGATCCAAACTCGGCATCTCTCCGCTGATGTTGGCCGCCATGAACGGGCACACCGCCGCAGTGAGGTTGCTGCTCGACTGCGGCTCCGATATCAACGCGCAGATAGAAACCAACAGGAACACAGCACTCACACTCGCATGTTTCCAAGGTATGTATGATTTTTTAGACAACCACTAACAATACTTCTTTACAATTAGTCAAATTCCAAAAAAATTCGGTTATTCAATGTTGCATTTGCAATATTGCTTCCATCCAGACCATATTGTTCAATATTTTTCAACCAGATAATGATGTATAACTTCTACAAATGTATACGAGCAATATAAATTGTGCCCACGCTTTGCACTCTTCAATTTTGCAGTTTTTTATACCAGTGACTGCTATTGCTGCATACTGATACGATATTTTCATATTCTTAATTAGCAATGACTATCTGCAGTTACCAAACAGGTAGCTTTTGTGGTTAATAGACAATTACATTGCATTTAGAAATTTTAAAATAAAAATGCCTGTGCTAATGGTATATGCTGACTGTCTTCTTTAACCTCCTTAACCTTTCTTTGTGTATAAACCAGGATTTAACCATGCTTACATTTAGGATGATCCTTGTGTGGTGGAATGCGGCAATTTATAGGTAATTCATTGAATAAATTATCAAGTGTTATTGTTTTTGCATTTGCAGTAATGTACTATCAGTCACTAGTTAATTCTGTGTTATATTACTACAAATGCATAAACGTCTTTAAATCTGATTTGCCTGCATGTTGTAAGAATCCCAATCGGTCCTCTCGTTCACTTCTCGTAATTAAACTTTAAACGAATAGGATTTAGAGAGGGAATGTTCGTAAACTGCACGCAGGTCGGCACGAGGTGGTGAGCCTGCTGCTGGACCGGAAGGCGAACGTGGAGCACCGCGCCAAGACCGGCCTCACGCCGCTGATGGAGGCGGCCAGCGGCGGCTACGTGGAGGTCGGCCGCGTGCTGCTCGACAAGGGCGCAGACGTCAACGCGCCGCCCGTGCCCTCCTCCCGGGACACCGCGCTCACCATCGCCGCCGACAAGGGACACATCAAGTTCGTCGAGCTGCTGCTCTTCAGGTAAGTCACTGCTATCTTAATACCTGCCTTTACACCTATCGGCTTTCACGCAGGAAGCGACTGCAATGTGAAACGCAAACGCTCAACGATAGCGCGCTGGCTTTACTGAACGACGCGCGCTCCTGATCGCGCATGTAATATGTGTCGTGTAACAGCCGCCAACACTACTTTCGAAACAGCGATTCACTCGTTGTAAAGAACTCTAATCTATATATGTAAATAAATAAAACTTATGTAACTTAGGCTACTTCTATTTTAGAAATTTTCAACTGTCATAAAATTATGAGAATGTATTTAATTGATCGTATTTTTTATGTGAATAATAACACCTTTTATACACTTTTTATCTTATACTTATTAAGGAAACTTTGTCTCAAGCCATAATATTATCTAAATCTGTTTTTGTCTATAAAATGTGTTATTTTCTACGCAACTAATTCTCATTGGACTTTGATGAACACAGGCGAGCAGCGGTAGAAGTAAAAAACAAGAAAGGCAACTCTCCACTATGGTTGGCCGCAAACGGCGGACATCTGGCTGTCGTCGAAATGTTGTACGCCGCCGGTGCAGACATAGACTCACAAGACAATAGAAAGGTGGGCTATACATTTTTATGTGTGTATAAATATATATTTACAAATTCGAAGCACCTAGTAGTGCTGTCTTCAGACTAAAGTCATATCCGTCAAGCGAGAGTTAGCCTTCAGCCACTCCATAAGTCCTTCCGCGGGTGTGGAGGGCCATGTGCACTCGCTATCGATTGTCCGCTGCGGCCAACAGCATTACAATAGTTAGAAAAAAATGTACTTGTATTATTTATTCAATAAATCCGTTTTGCGTCTAAGCATAGGTCGATATGTCTCACCTACTTCTGCAGCAATTATGTTTATTAAAATTTGTACAGGTTCAGGAAACAGAGTGGATAAGGTCAATTTGTCTGAATGAGTTTTTTTTCTGTTACCCACGTCTTCTATTTTTTTAATACAATTGATAGAGACTTATAATAAGTAAAACATATTATTTATTTTTATATTAGAGTTGCATTTTTGTGTTTACATTTTTCTTTTCAAATTAAATGTTTGTTTCTTTGTATCACTTTATTGTACAGTAAAAACATTTAAATCTTAAGATATATTTTATAACAATGGCGGACTTATCCCAAGTGACAACTTTTTTGTTTCTTAATTGTAATATTATAGTTACTGAGTGGTTACTTAATTTTCAGGTTTCATGCTTAATGGCCGCTTTCCGGAAAGGTCACACTAAAGTGGTCAAATGGATGGTCGGTGTAGTTACGCAGTTTCCATCTGATCAGGAAATGACAAGGTATGTAACTATATTAATATTACCTGTTTTAAAATTGTCCTGATGTTTTTTTTATTTAGATATTCAACTAGTATCACTATTGTTACTCTTTACAGAAGATTACTGTACATTAATTCAACTTTAGAGATCTTGTCTGAAGTGTAAGTTGACTTTTTGCCATGGTATATTCATAAAAAAGCTATGGAGACGATATTGTTACTATATTTAATTTAAATAGTAATTTTAATGTACCTTACATTATTATATTATATTATTCATTTTGATAGTTAGACGAATTTTAAAGTTTTTTGAGATAATCCTTTTTATCACATTAATTAATACATGTCAAAGTCAAATTTAAATTTATCTTAATGTTAAAGTTTACTATTATATCGCAGGACCACCGGCGCCGTTTGTATAATCAGTTTGTTGTTACGTAGGTTTTTATTAACGTAGTCGCTAATTTATTTGATATAATAAAGAACTAGAAGTGCCCGCCGTTACACCTGCGTTAAATTTCAATAAAAAATGTAGCCTATGTGTTATTCTAAAGTGTAAGCTATATTACTGTAAAGTTTCATTAAAATCCGTTCCGTAGTTTTTACGTGAAACAGTAACAAATATCCATACTCACAAACTTTCGCGTTTATAATATTATTATATTAAGATTAAGATGTATGTAATGTTTGTCGGTGTACGCAGGTACATTTGCACGATATCGGACAAGGAGCTGCTGGAGAAGTGTCAGGAGTGCGTGCGCGTGATCCGAGCGGCCAAGGAGACGCAGGCCGCGCGCGCCAACCAGAACGCCACCATACTCCTCGAGGAACTCGACGCAGAGCGCTGCCGCGAGGAGACGCGCCGCCTCGCCGCCGCCAGGCGACGCGAGCGCAAGAAGAAGAAGAAGATGGAGAAGAAGGTCTCGCGGCTCCACACAGAGGTCGGACCACACATCACTATATATCTATAACCTGCATTTTATACGCGCCATCACGAATAAAGGGGCTTTCCAAGGCCGTAAAACTATTATATCGTAATAGAGTAGTGCGGGAAAGCAAAAATTTTTTTTGTCTGCTGTTTTGGACGTGATGACTGATTCATGTCATATTAGTTTTAAAAATATATATATTTTGAGAGACGTTTAAGATTATAAATAACAATACAATGCAATATAATTAAAAACTCTTTAAATCATTGCATGAAAGGTCCTAATCCACTGAATTGACAAGAACAATAATATAATACGTAGGAAAAATTGTCCCTCAATAAATTACCAATCAATTCTTGTTAAGGTGGAGATTTTATTATATATTTAATGTTATAAAAAATGTTGTTGCACTAACTGGTAGTTATTCGCACAGGAGGAAAGACGCAAGTTACAAGAGGAGAACGACAAGAACTCGATGTACTGCGAGAAAGCGTTAGGCGAATGCTCGGAGGGCGGCGAGCCGGACGACGAGCCCGCCGCTAAGGAGGAGGGAGACTCCGGCATCGATGCCAACTCGCAGGTGCGTATTGAAAGTTAACGCTGATTCAACACGCCTAAATGACGTCATGTATAGGGTCAGACTACTGACACTTGTATATTTTACTCTGTTATCCGCGTTTATCTGTGCCTATACTTGTAATATTTCTGTTAACACTCGACACTCTTCCATTAGTACTACTCCAGATAACAGATTTAAGTTAAGAGTAAACGAAAAAAGTCAGTCCACGTTACAACTCGACGTCGAATTTACGCGTTACTAATAAGCCATGTAGCACATAATCCAAAAAACGTACTAATCATTACATAGTATAAAACAAAGTAGCTGTCACTCCTTCCGTCCCTTGTATGCTTATGTCTTTAAAACTACGCAACGGATTTTGAAACGGTTTTTTTAAAATAGGAGAATGATTCTAGAGGATGGTTTATATATATATATAATACATGTACACCAGTGCGAAGCCGGGGCGAGTAGCTAGTGTACAATATTCTACCGTATACTCACTACTCTAAATACTACAATAAACAATATATTAAATAACTACACCTCATCACGTCATATATAACGCTACAGCGGTTACGTGATAACTACGCTACATACCCTCTCCTTTGGGCCGTTATGCGTGTAGAGCCTAGACTATGAAAACAACTTCTTATAACAGTTATAAAACAATAGATCAAATCTCATTAATTATTAACACAATTAGGGCTCCTGTTCATCTTCTGATGTGAAAGCACCGCCATCGCAGAGCGTCAAGAATAAAAAGAAAAAGAAAGAAGAAAAGACACCACCGCCTGCGCAGCTACCCCCCAAGAAACAACCAGACAAAGTAAATATTATCATTACATACAGTCGTGTCTAGTGTATTCTATATGTCTTTACAAAATATTATCTATGTATTTATAATGTTGTCTAGTAACTCATAACGCAAGAGCTACTTAGCTTAGGACTAGATGGCACTGCGTCAGTAGTCCTGAGTTATTATTAAAATATGTAAAAAGAAAAAAAAAATTACTGAGTGTACAGATTCGAAATTTTAAATAATAATATTAATGTTGCCGTTATCTGACAGTTAGTTCAACATGGCAGTATAACCGATCGGTGGTTGTTCTATGACTGGTTATTTTTTGTTATCAATGGTAAAACTAGAAATTAGTCAGAAATATAAATTACACAACAATTTCTTTGATGTCAGTCAGAATCGAACTCACGATCTTTGGCTGTTATAAACATGTTTTCATTGTAAACACGTTACAACCTCAAAATATGCAATTAACTTTTTATAGAATAAACAGAAGCTGGAGACGAAACCGGAAAAAGAGGCTAAGGTGGACCGGAAGCAGGAGAAGGAGAACGTGGCGCCGGCCTCCCCGCCCGCCGCGCCCGCCCGACCCCCCGCGGCCGCCACCGCGCCGCCCGCACCCGACCGCCGCCAGGCAGACAAGAAACATGACAAGTCAGTCCCATATCAGTACTGTCATTTTTTTTCCACATTGTATGCACTATTTATTTTGTTACATTCAGCCCTTTAGTAGTGAAACCTATCAAATAGGCAGACACACTTTTGCACTTATGAGAGTATAATTTGCATTTGTTTAGGAATTATGGTTTAAGGTTTTTCAAAAAGGCTTAAGTTTTCTTGAAATACACTCGTGACGCCAGATGTTTCAGGCCCTAAAAGCTTATGTAATATAAACAATAGTAACACTCCTTTCAAATTTCTTTCTTGTTAATACTAGTTAAGCCATATGCTTGGTTGTTGATATCACAATAATATAAAATATAGATAAATATAATATTAGCTTGCATTTCTCTAAAAATGCGTCAGACATACAAGACTGACACGGTTTGTCGAGTTCAAAAAAAGTTTTAATCTTGTGTATAGGGCATATAAGTCAGTTTATCGAGAAAAAAGTTTTAATATATGTCAGTAATATATGTGTTACATAAAAAAAAATTTGCTTTTCCGGGAATTTTGGCAAAAAAAATCTGTGATACATTAAGTTCCTTTATTTTTATTACATTATAAATTATGTAATAAAGTTACCATGGCCCATGTCAAATTTTTTCTGATATTATCGTGGCGATTAACGTGTTAAAGTTTCTTGAAGGACAGCAACGCGGATGTTTCAGGCGCCCAAAGACGATATTAACTGCTTACAATCAGTTAGGCCGGCAGTTTGTTTGTTGATATCATAGTGATATAAAATATATACGAATATAATACTAGAATACATTGGGAATCAATTACAATACCATATATTAATCGAATGTAAATGTTTCTAGTTCCTATCACTGGTTGTCTTTCTTGTTAATAGTTGACTCAAAATTTACCAACACTTCTTATGACATGTCAGAGCTATATTATTAACCATATATATTAGTTTTTAACCTACTTAATAATATGTGTATTTTATTTTAAATTATAATGTTGAAAATTACACAGAGATGTGAAGTTAAATATATCATAGAATGATGTTTATATAAAAGTATGTTTAAATATACACAAACCAACTGAATGAATGTGGGGCCAACTAGTTTTTCAGATCATAAATATTTTCGTATATCTTTAATTTGTTTGTAGTGAGTTCTGTGATGATGATGATGATGAGTTCTGTGTGTATACTATATCTGGGATTGGACATAATAAGCAAGCCCTTCATATTAATTGGTTTGGGTTAATTTTTAGTGCCTAATAAATGCATGCATTAATTGTATTTTGCAAGTATGATATGCTTGATTCCACTGTATTTTATTGTTATTTCTGTTTGTAGACATTCAAATAAATAGCGTTAACATCACAAACAACGGGTTAAGGGATAAATATTATTATTGCAGAAAACTTGAAGAGGATAACACTAAGATCATAAAAGTTTATGGCAACGGAATTAGTTTACCGCGCTTGATGCAATCTCGGCCAATTTGGTCGAAAAACGAAGTTGACACATCCGACAAAATTAAAAAGACACACAACAGCTATCAGTAAGTTCAGATCAATGTCAACATACCGTGGCGTCGTTATATCCGCGTGAATATGTCGAATGTGGAACATAATATGGAATCAGTGTCAAAGTTTTGTCCTCAATTGTTCGCTGTTTGCGCTAATGTAACTTATTTGTATTATACTATGTGTAAATAATTATATTCATATTGCATGTTTTAAAATTTTTGGTATGAATTCTTTGATGTAGCTGTTATTTGCATGTATGTATTTCAGTTACCTTAGATTTTTTTGTTTTATTTAAACTGCTATCACCTAAATTGCTGATGCATGACAAAGACTAAACTTGATGACCTGAGTAATGTTACATGATATAACTATATAGAATGAAATACATGAAAAAAAAATTTAGTTGTTATTGTGTGACAAAGTAATCTTGTAATGTAATGATTTTGAATAATTTTTATATTATGTTTATCTACCATTAAATAAATTGGTTTTTGTAATACAAAATATTCAACACTAAAAATTTCGTATCAAACCCACACCGAATTTAGTACAAAACTAATAATTTCAGGTGTATGGCAGCTGTATAAATGTCGCCTTATGTAGACAGCATAAACATATATGTTATATGTATATTTATATATGTACCACATCCATTTTACGAGTCCACTTTTTGTACTACATGGAGAAGCTTATATTTAGTATTTGTCTTATCTGTAGGGATATCTTTCATAAAATTATTTAAAAAGTAGAAATTGTAACACTACTGTCTGTCTAAGTATACCAACATGCACTACTGTTGGTATACTTTTATAGTATCAATTTTATTGTAGTTAAATAAAGAATACAAAACAAAGAAATGTTAAAAGGTGGATAAATGTTGGTATATTAAATTTGGATTAGGTACAAAAGTGGATTTTGCATTTAATATTTTTTATCATGAAACAGAACAGTATATATTATGTATTTGGTCAAAAATGTCTATATTGTATATATGTATACTCGGGATATATACAATGTCTGGAATAGACACTATAATTGCATTATTCATAATATGCTGTAGTGTTATTGGTACCGTCCGTATACTAGTTCCATGTTATAACATATTCTACACAAACATAAACACATTCAAAATTAAATTATTTTGTCTGACATTTATTTTATATATTATGTATTTGGTCAAAGCCATCAGACTAAACTATCTGTCAAGCAAAAGTTGACCTTCAGGCGCTCCATAAGTCCTTCGCAGGTTTGAAGTACCTTCTGTACTCGACCCCATTGTCATCCGGTGAAGTAGTAAAGGGTAGCTGTAGCTCCATTAGTTTAAAAAAGAAAAACATTGTTCACAATTGTGAAATCTTCGAGGCTTTGCTATGAAAATAACAGGGTCACTGTGTTCCCTGGTTAATCTAATACTCGTAAAGTAAACGTACTCGTAAAGTAGTCTCGCATTCTATTCAATGAGTTTATGTAATCAAATTTAATTTCTAAGGCTTTTTATGCTAAATTATTGATTTGTTTATACACAGATGGGAGATTGAAGGCAAAAGCACCTCGCCAAAAGGTGGCTGCGTGGGCGGCAGACGTGAGGAGGGATGGAAGGAAGTTGTACGCAAATCCAGCGTACAGACACTATCTACAGTGGAGCCAGGGTAAGTTACTTTTAATATTATAATCAGTTATCAATATATATAATTAAATTAATTGATAAAAAAAAGTAATATAAATATGTAAGTAAGAAAAAACAATACTAGATCAAACATTGTTCTTGATGTGACAAATGATTATGATTCAAAAATATATTATACAGTCATAATTTTACAGGCTTAGATCTACGGTTTTTTATGTTACATCTAGACTTTTATATCGAACACAGAGATGGAATATGAATGTTCAATAGGTTGTAATGTACATTTATTTAGTGCAACATTTTTTACTTGCCTGTGTATTTATTCAATGTTTTGTTTCATACAAAACTTATTCTGACATTTCTTATATAATATTTAAGTAAATTAGTACTACTGTTCTGAAGTGATATACATATGTACTTACATAGGTACTTTCGTCAATTATTTTTATTTATATTATGTAGATTAATTTTGAAATAAAGGTATTTGAAATACCTTATTAAATACATCTGAACTGGTTAATCTGTAAAACCTCATGTATTTCAGAAATTATTAAGTTTACTGTGACGAGGACTTTGTTTTATAATATCTACAGAAAATGATAATATTGAAGATACAGTATATCCGTTTACAAAACAGTTGTAAATTTACAGTTGCAAGAAAGTATCGGTGGCGTCCCACGCTATATCGCGCGTGATAGGCCGCGCTGGCAGCAACATCAACGCCATCCGCTCGGCAACCGGCGCACACATCGAGGTCGACAAGCAGAGCAAGGGCCAGGGCGAACGGATCATCACCATCAAGTCAGTATACGCACATAAATCACCCACTTGCCTATTGACTATACATTATAATGTAAAAAGATGCATGGGTACCTCAGTTTTACTTATTTTTGCCAGCACGCACCTTTCCTTTGTAACGGACCTTACGTGTTACGGATAAGGTGATGCCCATAGGTATAGTGATGTTTGACTATTGTCGTGTGGTCGGCAGGGGCTCCGCGGAGGCCACGAAGCAGGCGGGCGCGCTGATCGCGGCCATGATCCGCGACCCGGAGGCCGACCTGGCGCAGCTGCTGCCGCGGGCTGCTGCCGCCAAGCCGCCGCCTCCACCGCAGCCGCTGCAGCCCAAGGCGCCCAAGCAGCCGCCGGCCAAGGTAACCACAACCACACTCGGTGATATATATATATATATATATATAGCTCCCTTCAATTTATACAGTTCTTGTGTCACAGTGTTTATAATAAAACTCATCTGAAACGGGTTCTACAATTTTATTATGAAATTTTTGGTAAGTCTAAGTAGTAGTAGTCTCTTTTCTACACATCTAGGTTGTAAGATGGTACTATCAAGATATAATTTATAATACAGAACGACCGGGTTTGCCGAGTCATCTAGTTTTTTTTATAAAACAATTTGATAATTTTGTTTTATTACAACTTATAGTTTGGTTTACATTAAATTATTATTCTTCATTACATTAGCCTTGCGCTACAGTCTACAATATAAAATACAAATAGTAAATAAAGAAAACCAACATCAATATGGGGTATACGTACATCGCTCTAGAGCTTCTTTGCATTAATTATTTATATACAAAGCAAATACTCGCTTACTCATTTATATATGTTGTGCTAATAAAGTCTGTAACCGTATAACATTCGGTTATCACAGCAGGGTACGAGCGGCAACAGCGGTGGACGCGCTACTACGGCGGCGACTCGTACGACGGCTGCGAGCAAGCACGGCGCTTCGCCCGCCCCCGCACCCCCCGCACCAGCGCCCCCCGCACTTCTGGCCACCCCTGCGAGGCCCGCCTCCCGCTTGCACTCGCAAGGTAAGCTTTATATTCGTCCTATAATATGTTTATTTCCTCTTAGTTTTTTAAATTTCGAATATACGCTAAGAGTACTGGTAGACAGCTAAACAATATTTTCTTACAACTCTATATGACCCAGCCTATAGTTTACGAATACTGTTACAGTAATTTTTATTATAATGATGATTATTTATTTGCTGAAATCAGACTAAAAAGATGAAAATTTCGTAATAAAAATATATGTTGTGTAGTACATATATAACAGGGATTTTAAAAAGTTTGTTTTGCATTATTCTATAGGACTAATTTTAGGATTCATTTTAATCCTCCGATGATGTGCACACCCCTAAATGATGTATGGCAAACTCCATCTCGTTATGGGGTCCTATTTCGCCCAAAATGTAACCCACCGATGGTGTGCAGTGTCGACTGGCGACAAGCGGTCGGCGGCTTCTAGTCCGGCGGGTAACAGTGGAGGTAGTGGAGCGGGCGGTGGCGCGGTGAAGTCGTCGCTGTCGTACACGGGCGCCATCGTGTGCGGTCGCGCACACACTTTCGCCGCCAAGCTGACGGCGGCCACTGCCGCCACCCCCGTCCACGACAAGCCCAGACCTGCGCCCCAGGTACACTATATATGAATTATCTATCTATTTAACTAGATGTTTATTTAAGACCAATTTGTTATCCGCTAGAGGTATACTATATATTATTATACATAACTACATATTTATTTAAGACTATTGTTACTCTCGAGATTGTTTTTTTTATTAGTTTTGTTATATCTTCTCCCTCTCGTAATATCATTATCATTATTGTTCGTTTAATCCTGAAAAGGTAACAGGCAGATGAAAAATTATGTATATACGATATTATTCTGTTTTTCTGTCAGACATGTTTATAGTACAGTGAGACTGCACACATTTGTTGCTGCTTATAATTATTCACTATGAAATTTTCGATTGAAATAGAAAATGTACTAGTGTAATGTCGTTTGTGTTGCCATAAAAAAAAAGTTTACTGAAAAAAAATATCACTAATAACTTTTGCCGTATTCAATAGACTCGTTATAGTTAATCTCCATTTTTTTTATGGTATCACTAGTTTAGTATTCTATTAATGTTAGTTTACAAGAATATTGTCATTGACATTTAATTGAATTTTGTAACTGAAAATAAATAATTATTTGAAACAATTTACTATATTCATTCTATAGAGGTCTTTATGAACGTAAGCATAACATTGAATTAAAATGAAATCGGTGTATATAGTTGTGTACAACACAAACAAACTTTCCTGCAGCATTGTACAGTGTTATAGAAACTGAAATTGATGTGTTGTATGTAATATCGGAACAGCTGAGTGCCCCAAGTCCGGCACCGACAGCGGGCGCGAGCGTGTCTCCGCTGCGTGGTGCCCGCGAGCCGTCCCCGGCGCCGGTGTCCGGCGCGGCCGCCGGCCCGGCCCCCGGCCCGGCGACCGGTCCGGCCGCGCTGCCCCCGGGTGCTGCTCCCGACGACGACCTGCGTCCGCACGCAGACTGCACGCTGCAGGTACGCACTCGCGCCGCAATCAGAATACTTTCTGCCAAAGCTCTAAATTATATAATCTTCATACGATATAAAAAGAAAACTGTGTTAAAACAAGTATAATATTCGTCGAGTTGAAACACAGTTTAAGAATTTATAATAAAATAATTATCTTTGGGAAAAGTTGTTCAGTTTCCTGAATTGCAACACTATAACTAGTATTTGAAATAATGTCTAGTACGAATATAATATTAATAAATGTAATTTTATTTACTGTTTTTTTTCTGTTATATTGTGACTGTTTTTTCAGTATACTTATGGTGTTGTCAAGAAAAGATAAAATGTAATTTCTGCATTAGTTATAAATTAGAATGTTATTGGAGTGGATAAAATATTACGTGTTCTGATGTGTGATCAAGTATTGTACTAATAGTAAACATTAATTTGCAGCTAAGTCCTGATAATACAAATGCTTGGAGTTCGAATGAAGATAGCGCGCCCAATCCTACCTCGGCGCTGCATATTAATACCACGCCCCAGGTGAGTTAATATATTTTTTTTACTTTAAAGAACATTTTCCCTACGACTTCGCGTTTGTGTTTCATACATAGGTCTAAGTGCAATTGGCTTACAAGCAATTTCGTTATAAAGTATTATTGTTTCGGCCATATCACGGGTACGAAACCGCAGGTTCAGTTATATAATATAATAAGTAATGGACAATTCACACAGAATTATCTAGTACCTCGTTTTATCAATATCAGAATGTGCGTTGTGCATGTTGGGTTAGACTATTAGGTCTGTTTCTATTGGGGTATGTTTTGTACACATAAAATCTTAATATAGTCTCTATTGATATGTGTATAAAGCGAAGAAACTAGTATTAGGAATTAGGATACTGTTGGCGTCGTACTCGGAATCGAATCCGCGATCATCCGAAGAAAAGTTGTATAAGTTTTCAGTATCCGTGTAGCTAAGCAGTGGTTCGGTTTACAGCCTAGCGGTGGTGGAGCCGGAGGCGGAAGCGGTAGCGGCGGCGGTGCGCAGGAGTACTCTCTGTTCAAGGACCTGTCGGTGGGCGCGGCCGGCGCGGGCATGTGGGGCGGCGCCCCGCCCGCACCGGAGCCCCACCACAACGTGGACCTGCCGCCGCCGCAGGTAAACACTACTGCTGCTATAGATACGGGGCTGCCACTACTGGTCACATAACAACACATTACCTGCCTTTACACTGTTTCTTGAGGAAGTGCCTTTACACGACACATTCATTCACACGCGATCAGTAGAGTGGAAGCGGGAAAGCCATGAGTATTCGAATTGTATTATGTTTTGTGATCCACACTTTCTCACACATTTCGTTTTTGGTATTTTTTCTTTTTTTTATTTGACAGTTTTTATTAACCAACGATACTGTTAAGATTTATAAATTATTAATTAATAATATGTTTATAATTATGTTTTTGTTCCGTAGTCAAATATTCGCCATTTTGTAATGATAATTAATTGTTAAAAAGAAACGCTAATCGCGCGTGAACGACCACACGTGCAAAGGCAGCTTACCGTTGACGTTTGGAACAAATTATGGTCTATTCGACTAGCTTCTGGTTTTATAATAACACATTGTTACTGTTAACGTTGTTTACTTCATAAATATTTTATATGTAATTCATCAATTTTTAATGAGTTATAATATAATAACTGGTGTATCTTTCATGACATTATTATTTATTTGAGTTTTGCCCCTGACATTACAGGGGCATATTAAAGGGTGAGTTTTAGCAGTTAAGTGTATCAAAGCATGACACCTTAGTTCTTCAAAATGGCAATTCATGAAAGATATCACGAGTATCACATGATGACATGTCTGTAATAATGTTCATGTATATAGGCGACTATTATGTTTCTGACAACCTCAAGTTGTTTAAAAACATGTTTAATACACTTTTGTGAATGTATCTAAAATAATTACATATTTTGCTAATTATATTGTCTGATCATTGAAAACATGTTTGTTGACTTTTCTGAATGTATTTAAACATTTTTTTTGGTCGATTACGAGATGTGATCATCGTTGTAGTAACATAAGTGAAATTTTGATACGCTCAGCGAGATCGTAGTTTATACGTGATGGATACAGTGTGTATTCGGTGCACAACTACAGGGTGTTGGGTTGCGTGGCGCGCAGGTGGACGCGAGCAAGGCGCCCGGGTACCGCGGGGCCGGGGCCGGGGCCGGGGCCGGGGGCGGGGCCGGGGCCGGGGGCGCGGGCCCCGCGGGCGGGTGCTCGCCGTGCTCGCGCACGTCGTCGCACGGCAGCACGCCCCCGCCCGCGTACGCGCCGCCGCCGCACGCCGCGCACCAGTACCACCACCAGGTGCCCATAGGTCAGTACGCCGCACACTTGTTGCTTCTACTATGTACGGCTTTATTTATTGACGGCCTCGGTGGTCTGGCAGGTTAGCTCACTGTTTTACACAGTGTTTATTGTGACCACAGATATTATACATTACAAATTTATAATATAATATTTATTCATCATATCATTATTCTTACAGTCTATATTTATAATATGGATCATTGGTAGCCTGAAATAAATAAATTAAAAAAAAATATTCCGATTCGATTCCTTGTATCGGTCTGGGTGTTTTCTATATATAATGTGTATGTATTTATCCGTTACCTAGTACCCATAACACGAGCTTTAGGTAGCTTAACTTGGGACTAGATGGCGCTGTGTGAATTGTCCTGAGATTATTATTATTATTTAATTTCCTAGGCAACAATGTCAACACGATGGATATGAGTGGATTATCCCGGAATGGACCCGTCTATCAGGACAACTCACGGAATGGACATAATATAATGGTAATGTATCTAAAGATATTAATAGTATGCCTTACCGACTGTCGATTTAGCTTCCGAGATTAAAACACAGAATATACTAGAGAAAGATAGGACTAGGATTAAATCAGGTTATTTCCTTGATTTAATAGAAAAATAACATTTTTCAAAATTAGAAGCTTGAATTGTCTGATTTTATATAAGTCAATTAAATTAACCACGCCGTCTTAATCTTTATCTAAATACCTTTAAAATGATATATAATGTTTCTGTATAAATTTTTGTTAAAACTTTAAAGGAAAAAATATAAATTTAATAAGTTTAATTTTGATTTAGTTTAATAAGAAACTTTAAATGCTTGTCTTGTACAAAATGTATATTTTGAATAGTGCCATTTTTCTATTTAACCGATGATTTATCCTTACCTAACGAATACAGAGAAGGAGAGTATGTTAGCAATGAAGCCCTAGTTCCCATTACTAATCTCCTCTCAATATAATAATGACAAAGGCGGAAGGGGATTTATAAAAATAATATAACTCTTTATTGTGCACAGAATAAAGTTCACAATAGAAAGCACTTAAATATGTTAAATTCAAGGTTTTATCGTTTGCAGCAATCTCTTACAGACAACTTGGATTGATAGAAATGGGGACTAATAACACCACTGCTAGTTTTCTGAGTTTCTGCGTTTGACCGTATCCGATCGATCCCCCGTCCAATTAAACGGGGATCGAAATTACGATGGCCTGAGCCTAGGTTCGAACCCCTAGTGGTGCCCTCAGACTAAAGTCGTATCCGTCAGGCAGGAGGTGGCCTTCAGCCGCTCCATAAATCCTTCCGCGGATTTGGAGTGCCATCTACACTCGCCCCCTAACGTCCAGTGAAGCTGTAAAAGCCAGCTGCGACCAACAGCATTAGAGTAGTCCGAAAAAAAAAAAAATTGACCGCAATCCTGGCATGGCGTCAGCATAGGGGGGTATACCATATCATTATCATCTATAAATATATGTAATAATAATAATGACGATGATTGTGTGCAGGTATCTATGTCGAGCGGTGTGAACATGAGTACCACGTCATTGGGGCTCGGTTATGTGGGAAACGTGGGAAGCGTGGGCAACGTGGGCAGCGTGGGAAGCGTGGGAGTGGAGGCGGTCTCGCGCCTCAACCCGCGTGCACCCGACTTCTCGCAGCGGCATCCGCTGCTGCAGCACAAACATAACCCGCAGGCCCAGGTAATACTTATTTATTACTTTTTTTTTATTGAAGTTTGTACGATAGGCAGACTTAATGCAATTGTTATTCTCTACCAGCCTTAGAGAGTGTAGAGATACTCGAAGGCGGTTTAGTTAATTTAATAATGTTATAATGTAATCTATACTAGCTGTGACCGCTGTTTCACCCGTGTGAAATTTGTTATCCTAGTGTAGCCTAATAGATGTGATGAGCTTATATTTATTAGTATAACATGTGTTGATGTCAATTCCAGATGTTCACTACAAATGCAACCACTGCCGGCAACCTGAGCGCGCTGATGCTGTCATACCAACAACAGCAGCCGACCGCCAAAACGATCCAGCACGCGCAGACACCACAACATCCTTACCAAGTAAGTGTTCAATACTAATAAAGTGAGGGATGCACAAATAAATCAGTTTTTTTATGGCATAGTCTTAGGTAGATACGGATCTATTTAAAGGCATTTTGGGGTGCAGCCCAGGGCGTTGTGGATACAAAGACCCTACTGAAAACAATGGATGATATATTGAATTTAAAAAAACTATAATATTAAAACAACCTATCATAAGGTTGGCAACCCTGAGATCAATCAACCCATGCATGTACACGTCTATTGAACAGAATGGGGAATTCCCATATATAATTAGGTATGTAATATAATTAGGTTAGTTAGACTCCTAAGTAGGTTAGCCCAGGGCCCCATAAGTTTCATCCTAAGCTCCAAGGAGGAGAGTGATCAGAGGAGGGTGGGCGCGGATGGTCCCTGCGCCCACATCCGAGCGGCTCCTTCAGTGGAGACCCGCACGGCATGCGGACGAATGCTTCGGCGGACCCGCATGACGGCGCTTTCACGCGGTTGTAAGGAGGAACACCGGGGGGTTTTTTCTTCGTCCAGTCCCACAGTATTCGTCCGCTCCCCTACATAAAGGCGTACGTTTCGGTACTTAAACCTTTCCCCTCGAAAAAAAAAAAAAAAAAGGGCCCCATAAGTTCACGATCCGCCTCTGCACATTGGGAACAAACGAGCGTGCAGCTCACCTGATGGTAAGTGATTACCGCCGCCCGTGAGCACCCACAACATCAGAGGGGAATTGCAAGTGCATTGCCGGTCATTTAAGAAGGAATAAGTTCTTTTCTTGAAAGTTTCAAAGTTTGAAAAATATCGTATAGGAAAAATACCATTACTGGAAGGTGATTCCACAATGTGGTTGTGCGATGCACGACGGAGGACCGCCGTTTATACAGATGGCCACGATGGTATTTTAGTGTATGGATCTCCCCACATTGTATCTGGAATCTATACTAACAAACTTCCACGTTTATAATCCTGGTATGTAGGTGTTTTTTGTTTACAAAGTGTATAATTATGCTTATTATCCCCAGTTCCTACTGGAGCGCGGTATGGGCGTGGGCGGCACCGGCGGCAGCGGCGGCGGGTGGGGCGAGGAAGAAGAACGCAAGCCGCGCCCCATCGGAACAGAGCGCGCCTGGAAACTCACCGGCGGCGACGACTGGCCGCACCTGCACCACCCCTACCACGGGCCCCTGCCCGACCACGACCGGTACCAGGTACGAACACACCCCCGCCCCGCTCCCGACACGGGACACTGACTCACCGGCGGCACCACTGGCCGCACCTGCACCACCCCTACATTTAAATGTATACAAAGGAATTTTTCTCTGCATCACTTATGGTTGACTGGTAGAAAATGTTACATGGTGTTAAGACCGTCAAATGTAATGTACTACCTTTTTATTGCATTCAAGTTAAACAAAAAAACATTCGAAATTAGTTACAGCAGAGTTTCTTGTTACTTGTTCTTGTTAAAATTACCCAGAGACCATATTTATCATAGGGTGTGTAATGATTTGATTCTATGTATGTATGAATGTGTAGTGAATTATTTATGTGTAATTGTAAATGTTTTGTTTGTGAATGTGCAGGGAGTGAGCGGCATGAGCGGCGTGGGCGTGGGCCACGGCCTGGAGGGCGCGTACGGCGCGGTGGGCGCGGTGGGCGCGGTGGGCGCGGGCGGCGCGGGCGGCGCCACGGCGGCGGCGCTGTCGCTGATGTCGCAGGCGCTGCCGCTGCAGTACGTGCCGGCGCCCGCGCCCGCGCCCGACCCGCACCACCACCACTGGGACCAGCCGCACCACCACCCCGACAAGCAGGTCACCCACCACCCCTACACTCGCTCATACTTCCTCGACACGACCCCTTCATTCATAAAAACTTGAGCCTTCAACGAGACGGTTCTTACTTGATTATAGAATGATAACTGTGTGAATTGTCTTGAAATTATTATTTATTATATCTCCTCACAGAGAATGAGCGGTCGAATAAAAAACAATATTATAGGACTAAAGTGCTCATGTTAAGTTTATTTTTATTGTAGTTCACAGACTGATGTTGTGATCTCTTGTCCGCAGACTTGGAGCAAATGGACTCACTAGAGGCCGACCCGGCACTGACGATACTGCCTTAGTAACGCGCGCGACGCCCGTCGACTGCGCGCCTCAACTATCCGACGAGGATTATATATAATTGTAACCCTTGGAAACGGTGTAGATATTAGTGAGAAAGAATTATATTATAAAGATTATCTATATACATAATAGAAAAAATGTCCTATCGAGATGAAAACTACTTATACTGTACGAACGACTGAAGTGAGCATTAAACGATTCATTATAATGAAACTCGTGAGGGGAGTCGGTTGTAGTTTTATTTGTTGCTGCCGCTCGCCGACTCGACACGATTAGATAAATTATAGTAGTTAGTGAGCGTTCGTTTTCATCTGATGTAGATATACGTACGGTGTAATAGTAGGTAGCTTGGAATGTAATTCCGAAGTGCCGCTCGTGTGTTTTGCGTTGCCTTTAGCGCACTGCGCCCCGCCGCCGTTATAAATATTTTACACTATATTATGGCATAATACGATATTAATTTCTATAATTGATATGATTGTATGCTCGCAACTGAAACGGAATTACTATAAACGTGTATTAATAAATTTGCTTGTACATGAAGATTAAATATCATATATTGATGCACTGTATTCACTGGTGTTTTTAATACCACCTGTTTTTTTTTTCAATAATTCTTTTTTTTTAATAGGTTTATTTGGGTAATGTTTATATTTATAAGTAAATTATTATTGAGAACTTTGTCTCGAATATTAAAAGCAGCATATGCGGTAAGTTCTAGGCAAATAAACCGTTGTCAAAATATCATGCGTGTGTTCTTGAGTAGGGCCTTGAATTCAGCTGTTATAACAGCTCTACACAATCTAACATACATACCTATAGATCTTGTAAAATCTTTTTAAATATACTTGGAATTGTATGTACTTGTGCAAGCAAGTTTTTGGAATTATAACTTGTTATTAATATACATTATTTATATTGTTAACTGGGTCTTAACATGTATATATTTTCATTTATAAAAAGGTATTTACCTCTCGTGACGTTAAAACATGTAAGACCCAGTTAACAATATAAATTGTTATTAATAACTGATATAATAACAAGGCAATTCAAAACACTAGAATTGATTTGATGATGATACACCCGATATTTTGATATGTAAGCACCTGAACTCTCAAATTTGCTTTAATAGAGGCAAACTCGTACATATCCTAACGTACCATCAGACTTGTTTGCCACCATTGAAAAATACTAAACAATCTTTCATTTAAATCCTTGAACTGTTTAGTTTTTTTTTATGGGTCCTAACGTCAATATTGATTAATAATATGAGAGAAAGAAACATTAATTTGGCATATACGACAAAGGAGTTTAAATAATTATACAACACAACATTTATAAACATTTATAATTATACAACACTATTTAGACTTTGTTTGCTTTTTTAGATAAAAGAAGTCTACGTCCGCCATCGTGATTTATGGTCACGTCAAATTTCATCAAAACCTATTCAGCATACACACTAGCTTTAATATTAGCAACAATTAAAATAAAACCATTTTAAAAACATATTATATAATTTTAATATAAATTATTATCAATGGAGATTCGTCATTCATAATAATTTCAATAGATATGTAACAAAATATGTACGTTATATTATATAAAAAAAATACAATTTGACAACTAAACTGAGTCAAAAACTGGATACAACATTCATACTGAGACTGATTCTAATATCAATACACTAAAATCGAACTACTTATAGCACGCGTTAGACGTGAATCTTAACACAATTATGTTAATTTTAATTATTGGATTCATAGATTCTATAACCATACAAAACTTTCAATAATTCGTATATTGTTACTACTAATATTAGGAAAAACAAAACGTTTTTGTTTGGTCTCAATAAAATAGTAAACACATACACAGGATATAAATGTAATCTAATTACGAAGCATAACTCTTAGGTATTTTTTTTCCAGTTATGTCTAATCTTAAGTATAATTTCATTAGCTTATAACACTAGTAGATGGATCCAAACTATGGAATTGGCACAGTCAATATAGTTTGAATTGTACAAATGCTTGTTATGTAGAATGTTCCTAAAGTAACTAGTATATATGCATGTAATATAATAAATGCGTGTTGTAACTATAAATTTAAAAAATAAGGGTCTACACAGACGAGAAATAATGTAATGTTTCTGTATAACATCTGGTATTGTTGAAAAATATATATCGTCTGCCTAAGTCTTACCAAAAAGTATATTGAATACAGTAATTTCATAATAGCTGTCACTGAATTTCTTAACAACTATAATTATTTAAAATAGGTATAGTTATAATATATCTATTAGGTGTACAATTTACAATACAGCTCACAGCTCTGAATGACGCTGTAGTATTCTGCCTTCGAGGTCAGCGTGCATCTTCTCGACTTTGCGGGAATGTTTTTTGATCATCTGCTGTTGATCATCGAAGTGGTCCATCTTGTCGCCAGTTGCCGCCACCTAAAATTCATTGAATAAGTATAAAATATACATGGAGATATACAACAATAACAATACAATAATAATTCTTTTATTGGAACTAAAAAATATATAATATTTTACAATGTAGGGTAGTGTAACGATAACAGCCACATTAGTAAGTAATACTGTGTCGTGGCCGTCAACGCCCACCTCCTTAAGACAGAGGCGATAGCGTTCCAGTAGCAAATACAATAAATTTATATAATAAAAAATAATAAAAAGCAAAGCAAAGGCATGCATGATTATATAATGCTCTACTATTATTTATGTAACATGGTTGCAATAATTTCTTATTTTACACGTTAAAATTGATAGTCCGCAAAATTTGTATAAACTGACCACAGTTGGCGATCGCAATTATAAAATTCTACGTTTCATAATCAAAAATGTTTTAATTATAAATTTAAGAAATACCAATGGTGTTATATAATAATTAGGTACTACTACATTTTTTTTTTATTAGAAATATTAGTCCTTTAAAGGCATGTCAGCCTTAGTAGGATATGAGGTGATATTACAATTATAGTTTAGCAAAATTAACTATAAAATAGAGAATCTGTATACAACTAAATTGCCAGAATTTTAAAAACAAAAATTAAATTAGTAATTAAAAATATAATAAGATATATGTCCAAAGGTTATTTATTAGTCTTTCTCATCCAATTCTACCAGTAAGCAGCTTGCTTTGTAAGCTGTATTTTAGTTTACAAGTTCGAAAGTATAACAATTAGTCCTCAGGAAGCCAACACCTGAGATATACAGGCCTTACAATGTATTCTATAATGGGAGTACTAGTCTAGTAACTAATTATTTATCATCAGTAAGTGGGTCGTCAGCTTGATTTCGCTTCCAATTTTATAAAAAAAAAACGCAACAGGGCCATTCGGGTCTTTAAAAAAATAAAAAGAAAATAACCTTGCTCTTATATTTATCTACATTTCTTACATGATCAGCATGCAACGTGCGCAGTTTGAGCAGTCGTGATTCATAGTGCTGCAGCTCCACCTAGAAACAGTCAATTGCCAAATATTTATCCGATGGGTACATTTGGCAACAACAGGTGTATACAATTATATTTGGTTATCTTGCCAATATAAAATCACTATAGTCATTAAAAAAAAGAGTAACTTTTGTAGGAGTTACACCATAGGCATTTAGGCATTATGACATGCTTTATTTAAAAAAAAATGTATTCGTTTATTCCAATCCATATACAAAAATATACAGGTATCTTAGTCTCAGGCTCACATAGTATATTAAGTTTTACCTTCAATGACGCCAATTCATCCACAGTAAAGTTAGACGCAGCAGCCATTGTCCACAAGCCCTGCACCTTTGGTTCTACAAATTCTTTGTTGTTTGGACCTTTATAAAATAATACATTAATTAATACATGTTTATCAATTGTGACAATCTTCAAAACTTTATAGAAAATAGCATAATAATTTAATAATTTCTCCGATACTTGGATAGTAACAGATATGTGAGTATTTTTGGATAATTTAATAAAAAATTATTATGACAATTAATTGCTGTGAGGAGCTAATATAGGCATAATCTGTAATACAGGTCACCAGCCCTCAAACTAAAGTGCATATGATGGTTAGGTTAAATAAAATACGAGATGCTTATATTAAACCTGTTTGCTAATGACACTCATATATAGAAAATATATACAATGTACAAATGCTATTTTTTTTTTATGAATGTGATGTTCAATGCAAATTGTAACTAAACTGTCACTACTAATGATCACTACTACTAACTGTACTTAAATGTCAAACAAGCTTACGGCACACCTGATGGTAAATGGCTACGGTTATTTAACATACATAAATATAATAACAATAAGCAGGAGCTATGCTAAGGAAATTATATTAGCATTCTCTACCAGCCAACTATTAGAAGCGCAGAGATATTCAAAATACTATTTTAAATTATATAATAAGTTATTACCTCTTGCAGTAATTCTTTGCAACCTGTCCATTCCATCTCGGAGCCCTCTATGTTTCTCCCTCACTAAATTAGCTTTATCAAGGTAATCCTTTTTTATTTCATTTGTTTCTAATTGGTTATTAATTTCATTATACCGGTCTATCTCATCCTCATTTATAGCATCTGTAATTCATTATTATAACATGTTTAAACCTTGAATAGTATGTACAAAACTAGGCATGAAGAAACATATTATACATATTAAACGTTATATAATCATGAATAAAAATAATGGTAACAAAAATATATAAAAATCATTACTTTAGATTGAGAAAATAACTAAAAATATTATTAACTAAAGAATATATAGCAGTTATGGGCTATATAATTTTGCATAAAATAAAAGAAAAAGGATGGGTTTTTATTAATACAACATTGATATCTCAATAATAATAAACACAAAATCTTAAAAATTTATGATGGCTGAATGTGCATAACGGATGAATGATAGAATAAAAAAAAAAACTTAAACGAAAGTGAGTAACACCAGACAGTATATGGGTATCATTGCATATATACATGAAGAACATATAATGTTTAACTTTATTATATTAATTATTACACCTGTTTACTCTGCTCTACATTCATACTTCAAATACATTAAGTAGCGACACCTCATCACTTCATATGTAATGCTATAGTTGTGAGGTGATAACCATTGCGCTACAATAGTAGAACAGAATAGAAATATTTTTTATTAACTCAATACAAGCACTTTTGAATAGTCATATTATTTTATTCTACCACTCATTCGGAACGCAGACTCATCACAAGAAGAATGATCAAGAAACTTGAGTGTCTTGAGTAAATATTGTTGTTGAGTTTGCATTTGCATACATACTTTTATACTGATCTTTCTCACCAGCCTCTACGTCCGCCAGAAGGTCATAGTACTGATCAATTTTGTCCTGATGATGAGTGAATTCTTCCTTCAGAGCAGACAGCTCCTCACTTGTGAACCCAGAGGCCTCAGCTTTTGCCCACAGCTGATTCAATTTCTTATCTTTGAATAGACTTCTGTTGATATGATCATCTAGTGCTGAGTTGTAGGCCTAAAATTAATAATACAGATCCTAATAATTTTTATATAAATAGAAATAGAAATAATCTTTATTCAAATAAACTCATTACAAGCACTTTTGAATAGTCATATTTTGAATCTACCACTCATTCGGAATGCAGATTCATCAAAAGAAGAATGAGCAAGAAACTTGTGTTTTGATCTTTTTAATAGATGTTTTTTTTTTATATAATAATTACAGTATAACAAGTAAGAGGCATGCGATAATTAACATAGAAATCGCTACGCACTCATTATTAATGTAATTAGATAATATTGTCAGTGCTATGGATTTAAAGTTTTTCTATAAAAACATTATTATCGTTAACAAATTCTTCAATTTTATAGTAAGCTTTTTTGAAAAGGAACTGTTTTATTTGACATTTAAATCTTTTTTCTGGCAGATTTATAACAGACTGGTATTTTATGGTAAAACCTTACACAATTTCCATAAAACGAATTACTAACTTTAGCCAAACGACATTTAGGTAAAATCAGTTTGTTATTGTTATGTAAGCTTTTATTGGTGCAATCACTAACTCTTTTGAAACTGTCTGTATTTTTCCTGGTATAGATGATATTTTCATAAATGTATTGAGAAGCTTCTACTATACTTCATTAATCTAATATCTAACAACAACATATACAACACAAAAATATTGGGGTCAAAGAATGTTAGTAGTGTGGACTAACCATTGCACCAATACACTATGTCAGGCTGAACTCCATGCAGTTTCCCCTGGAAACCATCATAAATTACTGATAGATTTATCAACATGGGCTGACTGACTTCAACCATTATACTGCACAGGTGCCCTGGTGATTCCACTATTCCATTATCAACCATAAAAAAACACAAAAATATTACTACTATGCCCACTATACATTGCAAAGTACAAACATCAGTATTCAAGAGTATGATTATTTGTATTGGTCTGGATGCTATCTATGTATTTACAAATATTGTATTTAAGTATTTATATCATTTGTCTAATACCCATAACATAAGCTATGCTTTAGAAAACATAATATTGCTACTTTTTAGGCAGCTGATTTGGGTGTAACTACCCAATATTTAATATTTTGTTTTGGAGTTGAGAATCTCCTCTATTACTGTCAGCATATAAAGTTCTTAATGAATTTCCTCTGAATAATAAATGAAACAATAATATTGATATGAACTTGTGTAATAGTTTTACTGTCATAAACTTTTATCATGTAAACAAAGGATGATAAGTATAATTTATTGGTTCCATATGTTTTACATGAAATGTATCTTATCTACGCTTTCATTTGATAGTTAATTAGTGTGGTGTATTTTTCATTTAATAAGTCAATGACATAATAAATAATGTTAATTTTATACCTATAAATTAAAGTTTTGTTAATATATTTGACTTGGTGGTATAGCAGTATAGCCACCTTACTTCCGATATTTATGGGTTCCTACTATCCTATTCCTCCTATTAAAGAGTACGATTGTATGTTGTGGTGTGTGTGTTAAGTCTGTATATGCATTTAAGTATTTTTATCAGTTGTTTAGTACCCCTAAGCTCAGCTTAATTTGGGATTTAATGGCACTGTGTGAATTGTATAGGGTTTATTGATTTTTCTTACAAAGTAGGCATACAGAGACTACTTGTAAGAACAGCTTGTAAGGAATGGTCTACTCTAATGATTATGATGGATTTAATCTTATTGTGTATTTAATATTTTAACTCCAATAAATTAGTGTTAGTATAATTCACACATTTCAATTTAAAAATGTTACAACATTTTATTAGAAGACTAACATAGCAAGTTTCTTGTTCTTTTTTCTTGTCATGAAACAGCTTTTCGAATGAGTGGTAGATTAATAGAGCTTTAAGTTTATGACTTATATTATAATTATATTCTAAAAGCTACATCTAATACAATAAAAAATACATAAATAACATACTGCATACTCCTTTTGTCTGCCAACATTATCTTCAAAGTGTTCCCTCAGGCCATAGTTAGTCATAATGTTTGTCAGTTTGCGTCTCAAATCAGCCTCTTTGAGGCCTTCCTTATCACCGCCATCACTTTTCACTCTTTTGTATGTGATTTCCTCTTTATCTTGTATCATTAAGTCGCTATATAAAGACTTCAACTTTGGTTCTGTAAGTCGCTGTAAATTGGAATAACATTAGTTAGTTCTCCATCTATTTGTTGAGGAAAAAGATAGCCAAACTCCATCCTCTAATATAATTTCCTTGGCTATCTATCTTCAATTTTATATGAACATAGATTAGTCTAGAAAAAGTAACAAAAAAACAGACAGACACACTTTTCGCATTTAGAATGTTGGTATGAAATTTGGGATGTAAGTTGAAAACAAAATATTTTCCTTTTTACATGACGCATTCTATAAAAAATATTTTGAAAATACGCTTACTTGTTGAGCTTTCGTCCATAAGAGATTCAGTTTGTTCATCCTGAAAGGTTTATCCAAAGTTCGAAATTCTACATCATTTTTCTTCTTTTCATTAGCGCTTCGCGTATATTTGTTTTCACAAAACACAGAATTTATTATTAATAATACTAATAGGGGTAGTAAAAGGTTTTTATGAGAAACAAACATTTTAATAGCTTGGTACGTTCAAAGAAACTGTAAAAGTAATTTGATTTCCTTTTCATTCACTGAATTTCAATAAATAATTGTGATGTACGCTTGTCTACAAAATATCGATATATTTTTATATTTCAGTGTATCGATGTAACGACAAATGTCAGACACGTATAAACCAATACTTTCCTATTTAACACCGCTGTCACCAATGACTAATATTGATTAAAACAATTTGAATATACTTATATTAGGTAGATCATTCTTGGCTCTACTGATAGATTGTAAATTTGATTTGAATGATGATTTTAAGTTTAATTAAATCAATATTTCTTTATGGTTTTGTATGAGATGGTAAAAATTTTGTTTAAAATGTAGTTTATATTATAACGAATCTTAAGGAATCTATATTACATTTTGTACTATATTTAATGTATAGAAATAAAATAAAATGTTTGTCATTGTAGACAAACAGAATTTTTATAAGAAATATTTGAAACAAAATAGATTTTTAAAATATCGATATACTCGATTTGACATCCTTATTTTGAGGACATGAAAATGTTTCAGTCAATAAGTAAAAAAAATGAGAATGGTTATATTTGACAATTTGTTATCATTCAAGATATTCATACAACTGTGACTAATTATGCATTTTGCATAAATGTAGAAAATGTCTTAAGTATATCTATGTAATTCTGTTTTCGGTATGTTCCGATTTCGATATTTCATTCATTTATCAACAAGCCGTGCGAGTGAGAGAGAATTACTTATAGCTGAGTATGCTGAGAGAATTAAATTTAAAATTAGTGAATATAATGAAAAATATACTTTAAGCTTAAGTTTCAATAAAGTTTAAATTATTTATGTATTGTATCCTAAGAGCATATTGCAGTTCCACAATAAATAACTTCTGTTACTACATTAGTTTACCTGCGTTAATATTATCGACGTACTATGTCTAAGAATGAACTGTATATGTACATAGTTTATTCATTCAACTATAAGAACAAAATTCTTGTTCTGAGGCACTAATTCTATCCTTTTCTTCCTTTCCAGCAAAGTACTCTGTGTATAACAACCGTTTTGACAGCTGTTGTCTGTTGACCTCTCTGATTTTAGCTTCGCTCGTTCTTTCCTTCGTTGATCGTTCTGTTTAGTTTTATTTTGATAAAATAACACTCGTGTTTTAACCATTGTGTCAGACACTCGTTGTATTCTTATAATTGTACAATTAATCTATAGTTATATTGTCGTGGCGCGTATTTCATAAACCCTAGTTGTGTGATAAACAATGAAAGTTCGTTTTCGTTAACGTTGAACAGCTTTTCTTCCCCACTTGAGGCTGAATCTGTAACGTCTGCTGTAACTCGGCCGCGACCACGTACATACCGTCTGACCATCGGTACTTTCTCTCTGATGCGTTACGGGTCGGTTATTACTCAACACACCGCTGTGAAGTGTTGTGAGCAAATCGCCAATATTTCATAGCGATAATCTGTACGTAATTGGCAGGTGGTAATGTCGGTCGTGTACTCGTGTGACCGTAGTTGAATAGATCCTGCATAGTAGAACAGTGTTAGTGTGTAATGTGTAAGAATTGGTTGTTGTGATGGTGGAACGCGAAGGTATGCGGCGCGGAAGCGGCGGTGGTTGCGGATGGGGCGGCGGCCTGCTGGGCCGCTGGTCTATCCGACGGTTGCTTCTCGACAGTCCTCTGGTCGGCAGGAGGTTCGCCCACTCAGGTACTTGCACTTCCTCTATAAAGTCATCAACAGCTGATTATACATGTATGTCATTAAAGCTTCTGAGAGATAAGATATATTTTATCAACACCAACATTTGACTTGTGTGATCAGTTTTATATGTGGCAACTTTAATAAACAATATTTTTAAGTATTTTTAGTGAACTTTGTCTATTATACAAGATATGTAAGAGCACAATATATGATCATTGGACATAAGAACTATTGTATTCTATCTATGTATTAAACTTTACTATAGTATTATTTTAATAACAAAACTATACCATGATCGTTTAGTGATATGTCACTAATAGAAAATCAGAATATTAGTAATTTATATTATCTCTAACATAAAAATGTTTTTTTTATTGAGGGTCTGTATGATGTTAACACCTGTAGCACTACAACCTGCATATGTATCTATTGTGATATTAGGATGTCTACTGGTATTTCTTCTTCAAAATATGCAGATTGTTATTAAGTTCAGGTCTAAGTTTGCCATGTGTCTATGTAATTGAGTGTCCTCTGAGTATGAATCAAAAAGTTTAGTTAATTTTACAATTGTACAGTCTCTTAAATATTTGTCTATCTTCATATCAAACCTAGTAGAAGATAGGCAGGTACCAACCCATATAAAATGCCACTCATTGTAAATGGTATTATGCCAACCCTACTATTGTTCATATTGTGTTACCTCTTTTCATTATTTCCAATTTGTTCTCCTGTCATTCTGTGAATGGAGTTACTATATCATTATTTTTTTTAACTATATCACTGTCTCATGTTTATTATGTAGCTAACATTAGTAGTTATTCTTTAGGAATATAAAATATATTTAGTATATACATAATTTTCTTTTATTCTCATAGTGTTATTAATATTTTAACAATATATATTCTTCTATAAGGATCAATTTCAAGTTATAACTGTAACAAAGGCTGGAACCTGTGACTTCTCCTTTTAAAAATATCCTCACAATATAATCTATGTCCCCAGCAAATTTTATTAATATCTGTTCAGTCATATAGTTGTGAAAAGTAAACAAAAAGAGATACAGACATACTTTCACATTTATAAAATTAGTAGGACATGTTGAGTAGGATAATTGAAAACATTTGGAAAGTAGTTTTGCATAAATTCATATTATTGAATAAGCCTACTTATCAGGCTTGGCATAGCTTGTTGCAGCGATGATGAAACTGGATGAAATAATATCAAATATGTATATGAATGACTACTGCTTCTATATAATTAATTCACCCATAAATTGTAGTCATAAGTCTATTTTACCATTGCTCCTCTAAATTTGATATAATTAGAAAAACTTGTCTTATTTATCTATGATCATAATTAAGATCATAGATAAATAAGACATGTTTTTTTCAAATACAAATACCAATACAAAGTCATAATTTGTTCTAAAATTGTAGAATAAATTATTTTAAATTGGAACATGAATCTCATGATTACACATCATGACTGTGTACTGTAATCATTATTTTAATAAACAATAAAAATATAATGAAAACATTTACAATTTCTACCTTATATTAATAACTACAAGTCATATTATACCTTGTATTAATTAAATTAATGAAATGAGTTAATATATGTAAAATAAAAATGAAAAAACATAACATAAGATAATTTACATAATATACTTAACATAATGTTACCTACATCACATCTATTTGCTAGCTGCCAATTGTAAACATTAAATCAGTGTTGCCAATAATGTATGGGAGAGCCCACTAAGCAGAACATGAAGAATCCGCTAGTAACCAACCATGTGTTTTAAATATACAATAATTAAACTACTATATAATACTGAATTGATTGACTTGACTGATACCTATAATAATGAATAAATAGACATCCAAATTTTGAAGTAGTTATACTTTAGCTTCATCAATGTTATGTATGAATAATAATAAACATTCAAAAGTGTACTTGTAATTCTAAAAGTATATTTTCCTATCAAAATTATTAAATCTGATACGAAAATGTATTAAAGTTATTTTCACATAAATTTTTGCTATACTTAAGTAAATTATAATTTCATGAACATTTTAAAAAGAAATCTTTATATGTTTATGCCTTGCCGATAATAAGAAGTATATAAAAATGTATACAAGCCCAATATTTGGCTATTAAGAAATCCACCAACCAAAACAAAAAAAATTATTCCAACAAATATAATTCCATATTTGCTGGGAAAAATAAATTCTACCCAATTTAGTGGTGAAACCACTCAGGGGGCAACACTGCTTTTAGTATAAGTAACAAGGCTTCATGAAATATTTATGATCATTTCCAATTGTGAGACATTGAGGCAATATAGAACAGATGGTATCCAATCACAGAGGTCAATGCTGCTAACCTTTGCCGAATGAAGAGTTTATTTTTGCAATTCGAATTCACATCCATATTGTAATGAAATATATAAAGTCTGGATTTATTCTGATATGTTTTTCATAAACACTATTTTATACTTACTAGTCAAGTCGGATGGCCTTTCTAGCTTATAATAGTCACAGGTTTGATTCCATACAGGGTACAAACATTTGTATTTATAAGAATGATTGCTTGGATTGGTCTGGGTTTTTTCTGTGTATATATTTACAAAACATGTTTCTCATGTAGGTATTTACAACAGCATGTATGTATGCATTTATAACAGTTGTGTAGTACCTATAATACAAGGTTTAACTTAGGACTAGACAGAGCTAAATTAACTACTTACATCAAATAAATCACACCATTTAGTCAATCATGATGAATATATCAGAAATTATGCAGATCATGTAGGTCGTACTAATAATGTACAGTACATTATTAGTGTGGAATCAGTATTCATTAATGCTAATAAATTTGTTTTACAATACAATATTTTAAAGCTATTTATAGGCTAGTGTTTATTACATAGTATAAAATAAAGTTGCTACCGCAGTCTGTCCCTGTGTATGTTTAAATCTTTAAAACTATGCAACGGATTTTGAAGCTGTTTTTTAATAGATAGATTGATTCTGGAGGAAGGTTTATATGTATAATACATGTACACCTGTGCGAAGCCGGGGCGAGTAGCTAGTTGCTAATAAGTTCCTTTTACAATACAATATTGTAAGGAAACATACATACATTGTAAGGACAACTAACTTTATTACACCAAACAACAATATTTTCTATATTAATAATTCAACCACGAATATACTTTTGTAATATCATTTCCTTAAATTAAAGTTCATTTGACTGAGTTATTTACTATTCATGAGTACCTAAGAATTGTATGTAAAATGATGTCAATTAATTACAGAATTACTGATACTTTAATTACTGTAATATAATTAAAGTGCTTGTATTTTCCTCATTCATTATAAAGAATTTAAAGGTGAAATATATCAGCATAGATCTACATAATTTCTGCATCTGTTTATGTACCTTGTTTTGATAAATGAAAAAAAAACAACGTAAATGATAAACCTTATATTTGTTTTGAAATAACTGGGTTTTAATCAAACACTCCAATCAACGCAAGTTCTTAAACTAAAATAGGAAAAATATTGAATGTTAATATTTTTAATCCTTATTTTACCTCTTTTCTACTAAAGGTTTACTTCATTTTGTTATCGTATTTAAGAGTTACCATAATGAATATCAACGAAACTTTAGGATTAAGGAAAAGTAAAACATAACTAGAAATATAAGTTTCGTTGATTGGTTTCGACCCTCACAATAATCTGAAAAATCTACTGCCCCTCCACCTATATCTCAAGCGGTACATCATGAACATCCCGTGCCCAAGGAATGTGGTGTAAATGTAGATATAAGGTTTTAAGAAAGTCTTGTGTCTATCTTTATGCTATACTACATTCCTTTAGGACTATACGGAGAGATGTGAGAGAGCGCCGTAAAAACAAACAACTCCTAAATTGGCTTGGATGGTGTTCTGAGTTGTGATTTGCGTCTGCATAAGTTCCTTTTCCTGTATCTTACATAGTACATAGTATTTATAACACAAAGTCGTGGCTACTGTCTGTTAGCTTTATATCTTTTACATTACGCAACGGATTTTAATGTAGTTTTTAGCAATAGATAGAGTGATTGACTGAGAGGAAAAACCTATATAAACCATATGTAAAGTACTTGCACAAATATTAATACTTGTAGAATTTCAAATATTCCTATGCCTTACAAATATTTGATTAAAGAATTTATCGGTTTGTTCTTCCTTGCGAAGCTGGGACTAACGGCTGGTTATATAGTATAAAATGAAGTCGCTTCCGCCGTTTGTTTGCTTAGATAGACTTCGCGTCGGATTTTATTGCAATTTTTAGCAACATATATAGTGATTCAAGAGGAAGGTTTATACGTATCATGTATGTACACCAGTGCGAAGCCGTCGTTGTTAGCTAGTATATTGTATCTTCCACCAAAGCCGTTAATAATAATACACGCCGTTTTATTCCACTTTTATCATTCTCTTCATGAATATCATTTGCAATGCAGTATTGAAGGAATCAACTTTTGAATATGCTCCTGAGAGCGGTGGTCAAAGGTGCGGCTACCGCCGAACATTATATTTCCTTAAACAGCCATTACATACATTTACAATACAATTTTACTAATGCAGACTTAATTCCACACGTGAATTATTACTCGTCGCCAATTTGTACTGTATTTAAATATTTAAATAAATAAAATACTAATTTGCTCTTCACATTTAATTAGGCCGTTCCCGCCATTTTATACAATTCAGACTCTGTCAACTGCACAGAGTACGTTACAAACATCATAGACTATATTTATACTATGTGATATGATTATACCTTAGATTATACGTAAGACTATATATACTACAAAAGTAATAGCTGCACCAGCGACTTCGTCCACGTAACCCAAAAAAGCCGAATTTTCATAAAAACTTTCATCCCCTGTTTTATATAAAGGGTAAAATTCCCCCTATTCATATTAAGGGTAAAATTTTCAATCAACAGCTTAAA